TGAAAAGTTAGTCATTTCATTAACTATAAAATGGGGATAGCAGTACATACTTTGGAGAGTTCAGAGAAATTGCATAGCATATGCCATGTGCCTGGTACTGTGCTGCCATGAACCTTATTTCCTTCTTTTTCTTTTTTTTGGGTCATACCCAGCGATGCTCAGGGGCTACTTCTGGCTCTGCACTCAGGACTCACTCCTGGTGGTACTCGGGGGACCATATGGGGTGAAAGGATTGAGCCCGGGTTGGCCATGTGCAAGGTTAAACAGCCCTACCTGCTGTACTATCACCCTCCTCCCCCATTAGTCCCTTCTTTCGCCCTTACTAATTTAGAAAAAAATCAGATTCTTTGGTTGTTTTCTGTGCCAATTGAAATTTACTGACTAACCTCTTATAATTTTACTTGGCTTTTCTTAGGTTCACTTTTCTTAGTATCCTAATGGATACCAATGTTGTTGATTGATATCTTTTCCTTTTGAACAGGGCGTTCTTCCTGTTCCTTGTCCTTGGCTAGTTTATTGTACATAAAAAAAAGTTTTCCTTGTTGTCTTAATCATAAATAATCAAAAATAAAGCTTTTGAGCTGGGAGTATTGAATTAACTGGAGTTTGGAGATCCTCATTTTCTAGCAATTTAGTATGTTTTCTGTGTGCTTAAGTATGTCCACAGTTTATATACAGAAGCATTTATCATTTGTGAAAAGTTCTATCTAGTTGCTCTTAAGAGTCCTGCTCATTTTATATCTGACATATCATGAGCTGTCCAGTTTTTCAGTTAATATAGAAATAGTATGAAAGATTTTATAAAATGCTACTATTCTTTATTTGAAATAATCTATGCATCAATGTAATCTGAACTTTTCAAATACTTGTTGTCCATAAATATTTTATACAATGTCCAAGAGAACTCTTAAGTAATATTTCAGGAAAGAAAAACAATAATAAAAATCACTTTAGTTTCTGGAAGATCAAATTCATGTTGAACAGTTGAATAAATTTTGGATATTGGAATTTGATTTGACAACAGGTTCTCCACTTGGAGCGCTTTTCTAAACTCCAGAGCTGGGCTTGAAAAGGCTCCTGGGACTGGATTATTTTCTACTGAGAAACGCAGAGAAGGGGTACCTACTGCCAGTTTAGCAATAACATTTGGGGGCATCTCTTTATTAAGATCTTTAAAATATGTGTTTCACACAATTGAATTTGTAACATTTCTTTTTGTTGTTTTTTGGGGCCCACACCCAGCAGTGCTCAGGAATTACTCCTGGCTTAGTACTAAGGGATCACTCCTGGCAGTGCTTGGGAGACCTTATAGGATGCCGGAGATCAAACTCTGATCTGCCGCGTGCAAGGCAAGTGCCCTGCTCACTGTACTATCGCTCTGGCCCATGGATTGATAACATTTCTAGAGCACAGATAGCTTGTGGGGGCCAAGTATGTATTGTGATTCTAATTTTAAACGATGTATGTGAAAATCTAACTGCAAGGAGCTAGTACTTGAATTCGGGCACACTTTTAATAGATTTTTAATCAATGATACTATGAGACTTTTGCGTGACATTTTCTCCCTGAGTGTGGATTTTCCCAAATTCTCGGAATCTTCTAGACTAGAAAGGTAGTAATTTAAGATGCAGAAATATACATGTGTGTAGCTACTGATCTGTGATTCTTAAATTTTAGAGCTTCGGGGAAAAATAATATACTCTGGTACTTTGCTCCATTCCCATCTGTCCTCCTAAACATTGACTGCTAACTGAAATCCTTTAGATCTAGTGTGCATATATCAGGCATTTATATTTCATACCTTTAAAATAATAATTTGCCAAACTTGATAATATATCCCCCAGATATATAAGAGTTGGGTTTGTCTCTGCCACTGAGAAGCAGACAACAGACCTGGTAAATACTGCTTATAAATTTTTTATGTTTCTAGTTAAGAGTAGTACCGAATAAATAGAAGGTTGCATACAATATCTGTGCTTAGAAATTTTTGCGTTAGTTATTTTATCTCCTGATTGGAGATCTATTTGACCTACATGGTGTCTTGTTGGTAGAGTGCTTTGTCGTTCACTCTTGGATAGCACATGGTCTTTTAGAATATACGTACCAAGGTTTACCCAGACTTTATAAAGAACAAGAACTATGTCACACCTGCTCCTCAAAATAGGAAATATGAGAAGTATTTTATATCTTAAATAATTATGCCTTCTTGATGGATAATTACTATTACCTTGTTGCTTTTGTTTCAACGGTGCCTGGAATCAAACCCAGAACCTCATGCATGCACTGCAAGCACTCTGCTGCTGAGCTATATCCTGGACTCCCACTTTTGTTTGTAATATAGGATTTTGCACAAGCACATTTCTGGGTAATTTCCTCCGTTGCTAGAGCAGCAGGTAGATTGCACAGTCCCATGCACATTATAACTTATCCTGCCAGGTCAAGAGAATGGGCCATGTGTGTCTATGTCCTAAGTCCACATTTCTAGGTTCCTCTCTACACATAAGAATTAGACTTAACATGAACGAATTGGATACATTTCTGGCTTGAATAATCATGATTTTTAGTTTCTTATACCGAAATTGTCATGATTTAGTTTGTTTTGGGGCCACACGCAGTTATGCTCAGGACTTGTTCCTGATGGGTCTCTGCACTCAGGAATTTATTCCTGGCAGTGCTTAGGGGACCATTTGGGTACAGGGGATTGAACGCAAATCAGCCACGTTCAGTGCAAGAGCCCTACCCTACCTGTTGCTCTCTCACTCAGCCCCCTGGACCTAGAGCATGGTCACTCCTGGCTGTGCACTCAGGAATCAGGAATCACTCCTGGCGGTGCTTGGGGGACCATATGATGCCGGGGATTGAACCCCGGTCGGCCGTGTGCAAGGCAAATGCCCTAATCATGTCATTCTGATTTAGTTTTATTTTTCTGCCACCCCCAGTGGTATTGGGGGTGTTGAATGTAAAGCATGTGCTGTAGCTCTTTGACCTGTTTCCCTACACTAGTTTTAATTTTCATAAAAGCAACTTGTTTCAAGTTTGCTCAGCATCTTACGGGAACTTTGTGATTTTACAATTTCCCTTCCTTTCTGGTAGTATTGTGCCACCTAGTGGAAATTTATTTTTCAATATATGCCTCAGAATTTAAATAAACTGCAAGGTGCATGTTAACGTCTACAGTTTATATTTAACAGCGTTCTAAAGAGCACAGTGTTTGTACTTGGTTGACTTGGAATTCTTTTTTTTTTTTTTTTTTTTTTGCTTTCTGGGTCACACTTGGCGATGCTCATGGGTTTCTCCTGGCTCTACGCTCAGGAATTACTCCTGGCGGTGCTCGGGGGACCATATGGGACGCTGGGAATCAAACTTGGGTCAGTTGCGTACAGGGCAAACACCTTACCCACTGTGCTATCGCTCCAGCCCCAACTTGGAATTCTTTAGAACATGACTATCCTATTTAAACAAGAGTTTAGGATAAATAAAAATTTTTAGTGAGGGGGGCTGGAGCGATAGCACAGCAGGTAGGGTGTTTGCCTTGTATGTGGCCGACCCAGGTTTGACTCCCAGTGTCCCAAATGGTCCCCCCAAGCACCACCAGGAATGATTCCTGAGTGCAAAACCAGGAGTAACTCCTGAGCATCACTGGGTGTGACCCAAAAAGGGGGAGGGAAATTATTTATTTATTTTTTTAGTTAGGGAAGGTTTAATAGATGTTTTAAAATCATGAGCTTTTCAAGTATTTAAAAAAAAAGTCCTCTTTCCAGTGGGAAATATCCTACATTAATTTTATCAATTAAGTTTTTTTTTTTGCATGGGGGCTTGGTGGGGGGAGGCACATCTAGTAGTGTTTAGGGGCTACTGCTGGCTCTATGCTCAGATGTCACTTGCAGTGATCCTTTGGGAGCATCTGGTGCTGGAGCTTGAATTCAGGCCCCCAGCATGCAAAGGCAAAGCCTGCTCTCAGTTTATTGTGTTGCCTCTCTCTCTGGCTCCTGTCCATCCAACTTGAACCAAATGTTTTCATTAGCTTATTTAATTCCATTACTTAAAATAATGGTTGCTATGATCTTGTCAAAATCAACCCGTCCCAGTAAGTAAAATGCAGTGGTGTTTACGTTGTTATTAGTACAGGTGAGATTTAATTTGAACTAGGGGGAGAAAAACACATTGGATGATAAATATTAATGAACAGGTCCAAAGTTTGAATAATTTAGCTTTTTGTCATTTGGAGAATACTTTCAAAGGATAAGATAAATTGTCATGCTTACTTGGGTGCAAATAAAATTTAGGATTTTGCCAGGGCAAGAGCTGAAAGGGTCTTCTTTCTTGTTATTAAAAATAAAGGTGTCTTGGGGCCAGAGTGATTGTATAGAGGGTAAGGTGCTTTCCTGGCAAGCAGCCGAGCAAGTTTCGATCCCCAGCATCACATATTGTCCCCTGAGTACTGCCAGGAGTGATTCCTGAGTGAAGAGTCAGAAGTAACCCCTGAGCGTTGCTGGGTGTGGCCCAAAAACAGGGAGAAAGAAAGATGCCTAGTTATTTGAGGTATCCAATATGCATATTTTCATTTGGACTTAAGAAGCTTTTCTGTCTTGGGGTTAAACGTTAGTCGTGATTACACTAAAATTAAGCAAGAATAGGAAGTGTGAAATTGAGTGTAGATGACCCATTTACGAAAACAGATGCTTAGAATTTCTAATCATTTAGGGAAAATAAGTAAAGTAAAGGCCCTCCCGTTGATCATCGATTTGCTCGAGCGGGCCCAGTAACGTCTCCATTGGAGACTTTGTTGTTACTGTGTCTGGCATATCGAATACTCTCGGTAACTTGCCGGGCTCTCCGAGAGGGGCGGAGGAATCGAACTCGGGTCGGCCATGTTGGCTGTGTGCAAGGCAAACGCCCTACCCGCTGTGCTAAGAATTATAAGGTATAGTCATTCCAGCTTATATCTTTCTAGAGTCATGGATATTTTATAACATTTTTGCCATCTTGTTCTCTTTTAGCTGCTGATGTGTAGTCACCATGAGTGGGTTAGGAGAAAACGCCTTGGATCCACTGGCCCCGGATTCACGAAAACGCAAACTGCCATGTGATGCTCCTGGACAAGGGTAGGTGACTCATTTCCTGATGGTTTGCCCAGGTCTCCTCCCTCTACTTTTTTTGTTTGTTTCAAAGATCACATTTCAGCATTCTATTATTTACATTCTCTGATCAATACTTTTGTATTTTGCCTGATTTAAATAATATAGTTTTGCTTTATAGTAGACAGTGGTGCATTGCTGAGGTGACCATCCTTATGATGTAATAGAAGCTTTGTCATTGATTCAGATAGAAGTGACTGTGTGTGTGTGTGTGTCTGTGTTGGTGGTGGTGGTGGGGGAACACCTGGGTGTGCTTAAGGGTTACTCCAGAGTCTGCACTTAGGGAACACTCCTGGCCAGGGACTTGGGGAAACATACGAGGTGCTGGGGATATTAAACCTTGGTCAACCATGTGCAAGGCAAGTGCCCTATGTGCTGTGCCCCTAGAAGTGACAATATTTTATTAACACAGTCTGCGATACTGTAAGAAACATTTCTTAGTGAAAGTGATACAAGTTGTGAATAGGTTATAGCTAAGGTTATTACAAATAAGAATCTTTGCTGTCCTTTATAAGCTGATGAGTCGTCATTTATGTAGTTTCCTGCATAAAATTGGAAGTTTGGAAAATAGAATATTGAAGGGGCTAGGATTATGTTACACTCTTGAATACACTGGATCCTGCCAACACATCCCCCCGAGCATTGCCAGGTGTAGCCCTGGAGGCCCCAAGCACTGCTTGCATGCATTGACCATGAGATTGAACTGTTTGACCCAGTAGATAAAAGCAGCACCACCCGCCCGCTCCAGGAGCACCACTTTAGAGATAGGTCCAATAAAATACTGCAATTAAAATTCTAAGCATAGAATTATTACAATAGAATATTGAATTCTATTACTTTCCTAAGGGGTTTTAAGACAGTATCATTTGAACTTGAGTGTAATATTTGAAAAATTGAAAGCAAAAGAGAAAATAATCTGCAATTCATAAAAGTCATCATTAATAGTAAGCACTTTAAAAATAATTCTTGTTTTACTATCTCCATGAAGGTCAGGGCTATCCTTATTTTGCATATGAGGAAACTGAATAGCCCAAAGTCACTGTGCTAACAAAAATTGGATTTAGATTTGTATTAATTTCTGCCGTATTATATCCTTTCTCTAAGATGTTGTTTTGATCATTTTTGTTGGCTGAATTTAGTTTGTTTACATAAGAAGGTAATAGTGTTGTGTTGTGAGTGATTCTGTTCACAGCTCTTTTGTGGTAGGTTTATTTACTCATGGCTTTTTTTTCCTCCTCAGTCTTACCTGCAGTGGTGAAAAGTGGAGACGGGAACAGGAGAGTAAATATATTGAAGAATTGGCCGAACTAATATCTGCTAATCTCAGTGACATTGACACTTTTAATGTCAAACCAGATAAATGTGCAATTTTAAAGGAAACAGTAAGACAGATACGTCAAATAAAAGAGCAAGGTAATAACAAAGTAAGAGAACCACTCAAGTCTTTAAGAAGGAGCTTGCTAACTATGTTTTTCTTTTCACTGTCTCATTACTTGGATTAAGAGACCACTAATGGAGGCTAGGTGTTATGGAAATAGAATAGTTGACCAGCTTTGCTCATTTGGAAATAGCTAACAGAATAGGAAGAAGCCCACTTTTTTTACTCTCATATGCTAGTTCTCCATAGGAAGCCATGGAAATAATACATGTAGCAGTGAAAGATCTGTGGTATTTTTGATCACCTGGGTAAATCTGAAATTTAACTTAACTTTTAAAAATAATAGCATTTTCCCCCCCAGGAAATGTGTGTGTCTATGTGTGCAATTTAATCCGTAATTAATATACGTGTTATTTGTAGTACTGCCTTCTCTCTTTTCAGGAAAAGCTATTTCCAATGATGATGATGTTCAGAAAGCAGATGTATCTTCCACAGGACAAGGAGTTATTGATAAAGATTCCCTAGGACCACTTTTACTTCAGGCAAGTATTTAAATAATTAAACTGTACTCATGTTTAAAAATCAACAAAGTTTTGGTTAGGAATTTTCTCTTTTGATTTATGAGTCTTGGAATGTTCATTGTTTTATTTTGAGGACATACCCTGAGGTACTTGGCAGCTGCTCGGTGGACCGTGTGGTCCAAGGGGTTGAACTTAGATTTTCTTCTAGGAAAAAAAGCATGTGCTCTGACTCATTGCATGATCTCTTTGACTCCAAATGAGATTTTATGTTTTGGGGGTGGGGTTGGGGGGTTGAGCTCCACCTGGTGGTGCTCAGGGCTTACTCCTGGCTTTGTGTTATGGGATCATTCCTGAGAGAAATCTGGACCTCATGGGGTGTCAGTGTTGAACCCATGTCAGCTTTGTGCAAGGCAAACGCCTTGCCCATTGTATTATTGCTCTGGTCCCAAGTGAGATCTTTATTTTTTTGTTGTTGTTTTGGTGGTGCTGGGGATTGAGCCCAGGGCCACAACTGTGCAAGGTGGTGCTCACTGAAAAGCCACATTTCTGACCTAATAAATCTTTGTTTCTGTATTTTGCCTGTAAATTTTTGTTTTAATTTGAATTATTTCTTGAGAGTGCATTACTAATAGATTTAATGAGTCCAGGTTATGATCATTTCAATAACTTTCGTGTGTGTGTGTGTGTGTGTGTGTGTGTGTGTGTGTTTGTTTTAAATACCATTTCAGTCCAGGAATTCAGCTCCATTTCTAGAAGTTTCTTCTATAGAAATTCAGTATAGACTTAAGAAATTTTGGACATAGCACTACTGGTGACAAATCCTAGGAGTTGCCGTTTTGGCATTCTTTTTGAATCAGGATAGGAAAAGTAGATTATCCAGTCTCTTTAGGAAATGGAATTGTTTCCAGCGTTAAAAGTACATCAAGGGACTGGAGAGATAAGACTGTGAGTAAGGTGCTTGCCTTGCACTTTCCCAATCTGGGTTTGATCTCCCACATCCGATATGATCCCCCCCGGGCACCAGGAGTAATCCCTGAGCATTGCTGGGTATAACCCCAAAACAGGACAACAACAACAACAACAACAAAAAACAAAACCATGACATCAAGCAAGTTAAAAACAAATTTCTCTTTTGCCACTGGATATGCTGCTATTGGTACCAACCTCCCTGCCACCAAGCAAACTTGGTGGTGTTGATTTCCTTTAACTGACAGGCCCCTGAAACCACCTACTCAATGATCTGGGTTGTTTCCCTTCTCAAGCCCAAAAAGGATGGACACCTCTCCCTCTATTACAGAGTGGCAAGCCACATGCCACAGAATGGGTTACTGAAACAACAGAAATGTAGGCCAGCCTTGACAGTCGTGTATGTGTATGTGTGTGTGTGTGTGTGTGTGTCTGTCAGTGTCTCTGTGTGTGTCTCTGTCCGTGTGTATGTTTGTGTTCCCATTTGTCCGTCTGTCACAGTTCTCTCCAGTACTGAGACTAGTGTCTTGGCCTGTTTAGGCAGGTATTACAAAACACCACAAAACAGAATTGTAATTCTGAATATCTTGAGACTGACTGAGAATAAGGTGTCAGGCTTGGTTTCTCCTGAGATCTCTCTTTCCTCGGTATAGTGCACTTCTTCCTGTGCCCTTTTAGGACACTCTCTCTCTGTGTGCCTGCTCTGCCTCTCTCTCCCTTTAAAGGTCCCCAGGGAGGTGGCACTGATTGCTCTTACATACTGGTGCAGGCTTCTCTTTGTAAAGCCCCTCTCTAGACGTAGTCACTCTGTGAATTAGGGTTCAGTTCATTCCATCACATCCGGTATTAACAAATCTCATTTTAGGCATTGGATGGCTTCCTGTTTGTGGTTAATCGTGATGGAAACATTGTATTTGTGTCAGAAAATGTTACACAGTACCTGCAATATAAGCAGGAGGACCTGGTCAACACAAGTGTCTACAGTATCTTGCATGAAGAAGACAGAAAGGATTTTCTTAAAAACTTACCAAAATCTACAGGTAGGCCTTTAATGTGTATTTTTTAAATAGCTTAAAACAGAACCCTTTCGCCTCTTTGTTTTTATTTTTGCCTCCCAAGGCACGCTCAGGAGGACCTTGCGCCCCTCCTGATGACTCCTGACTAGCAGGGTGAATGGTTGCATGCAGAGGCTTGCGAATGTGGTCCTGCTCGAGGCCCTAGGCTGCTGAAGCTTCCCCAGGCCTCTCTGGTGCTGCTTGAGGGCCTCCGGGACTCCATCTGTCAGTGGTCAGGGGCCTTGAGAGTGGCACCAAGCAATGCTCGGGACACCACCTGTAGCTGGGGTTTTAATCAGGATTGGTTGTTTGCGTGCTTGCACCTTAACCCCTTTCCTACCTTTCCAACCTTTATTTCTTAGAAAATTGAACATACCTGTTAGATAAGTGACCGGACTTCTCTAGAAAGGCAGGTGGGTAAGAACAGAGTTTTTGAACACAAACTTGTAGAATTTATAATTTGGCGTACATTACATGGAGCCGAAATATGCAAGATTTCTGTTGAAGTTAAAATTACTGCATTGTATCATATGTTGTTACTGCTCCAGCAGGCCCAGTAACGTCTCCATTTTGAGACTTTGTTACTGTGTTTGGCATATTGAATACACGGGTAACTTGTCAGGCTTTGCTCTGCAGGCGAGATACTCTTGGTAGCTTGCTCGGCTCTCCGAGAGGGGCGGAGGAATCAAAGCCTCGGCTGGGCTGACTGCACACAAGGCAAAGGCCCTACCGCTGTGCTATCGCTCCAGCCTGTATCATATGTTACCACATCGAAATGTTATTGTAATTTCTACAGAAAACACATGTAAGAGAAAATAAAGGCTTGGATTCCTTTTTAAATGAATTTTTGTTAAAAACGCTGATTTACAAAGCTGTTTATTATATGGTTGTTTCAAGCCTTTTCTTTTTTTTTTGTTTTTTTTTTGTTTTTTTTTTTTGTTTCAAGCCTTTAGTGTTCTAATACTACCAGTATGACCTTCCCTCCACCAATATCCCCAGTTTCCCTCCCAGTTCGAACCTTCCTTCTTTGGCAGATGACAAATTTACTTTATATTGCTTATTCCAGTTGCAAATAGAATGATCAGAAAATAAATCAGTAAGGGCCAGTTAGTGGTTACTATATGATTTTGACCTCTGTAAATAAGAAAATTAAAATCATTTAATACAGTGTAAAAAATGCCTACTCTCATTTACATATATGTTTTCAAGTATGGACTCTTATTTTATTCTTGGATCTCACTGTGGTAATAAACATTTCTCAGCTGTCATTAATAATACTTTTAAAGCAATTCTGTATTAATGTATTTTGGAGTTTACATGGAACGGGTAAGGAAAGGCTTGAGTTCTTGACAGTATCATAGATCGAAAAGGCAGAGCTTCTCACCTTTTTCATTTGTTTTTCAAAGTTAATGGAGTTGCTTGGACAAATGAGACCCAGCGACAAAAAAGCCATACGTTTAATTGCCGTATGTTGATGAAAACACCTCATGACATTCTAGAAGATATAAATCCGAGTCCTGAAATGCGCCAGAGATATGAGACGATGCAGTGCTTTGCCCTGTCTCAGCCACGAGCTATGATGGAGGAAGGGGAAGGTAAGAGAAGTCGGGTTTGTGGTGTTTGTTCTGCAAGAGAAGTCAGACTCAAAGGGTTGTAATTCTCATTGTTGTAATTCTTACTGAGTCCCATCTCTCTCCTCACCATTTGAACTGAAATAACCCAAACAAATGTAGTTCTTAGCTGGTTCACTATTCTGTTGCAGACTTGCAGTCCTGCATGATCTGTGTGGCACGCCGCATCACTACAGGAGAAAGAGCGTTTCCATCAAACCCCGAGAGCTTTATTACTAGGCATGATCTTTCAGGTAAAAAAAACTGTGTGTGATGGATGTGGCTCTTATCTATTCATCTGGGATATTTTTATACTATTTAGCTATTTTTTATAGGCAGCATTATCATCTCAGTGTCTGCAGTATATCAACTATAATGTTGTTTTGCATGTATTACTTCCTATGTTTCTTTGTTCTTTTGGGGCCACACTTGCAGTATGGGGACCATACAGTGCCAGTGCTAGAACCTGGACCACCTGCATGCCTGCGTAAAGGCATGCTTGCAGCCATATTTTTTGTTTGTTTTACTTTTTGGGTCACACCCAGTGATGCACAGGGGTTACTCCTGGCTCTGCACTCAGGGGACCATATGGGAGGCTGGGAATCAAACCCAGGTCAGCCACGTGCAAGGCAAATGCTCTACCCGCTGTGCTATCTCTCCAGCTCCCTGCAACCATATTTTGAGCTTTTTCTGACCCTGTGTCCTTTGGGTCAGAAAAAAGCAGAGCTTTTTTTTCTTTATACAATCTGAGAGAGTGACAGAAACGTTTGGCAATTAAGCTGGATATGTTTGCCACTGAAAATCCCCCAGATTAACTTTAAAGAAATATAGAGTCTCCAATGGACTCTCCAAATAACATTTCAGAGAAGAAATTAGTATTGCTTTATTTCTTTCCTCTTAAATTTAGACCCTTTTTCATAAACAAGCACCCTCCTTTTTTCCCTCCTACCTTCCTTTACAGGTAATGTCATGAGTAGTACTAAGAGCACCAGTAATGAGTATTACTAAGAATAATTTCTGACATCTGAGATTTACTCTTGACTTCTTCTTTTTTGTACTGAGAGAATAAAGAAATAAAAGTACTATTGTAAACATAAAAGCACAGTGACAGCTGTTAAATATGTGTCACATTCATATCTACATCTACATAAATTTTTCTTTTCTTTTTATGTGTGTTTGTGTATTTTTGGGCCATACCCAGCTGTGCTCTGAGATCACTCCTAGCAGACTTGGGGGACCATATAGGGTGCTAGGGATTGAACTTGGGTCCACTATGTGCAGGGCAAGCACTTACCTGCTGTGCTCTCGCCAGCTCTTTTATAAATTATTTTATCATAAAAATGGCCATTTTTACAGTCATCAAAGACTTTAGTCAGACTCAGTTACTTGAGATTTATTTCCATAGATTAAAGAAAATAGCAGAAATTTTGCATAGCCTGATGAGTACTGCTTTCTATTGCAAACTTTTTTCCTTTTTTACTCATCTTACCAGATGAGACCGCTGAGAGGAATATAGAATGGCATTTTTTAGAATGGCTCTTTTCTGCATCTCTTATGATTTGGCATTGGGGATGGGGGCACACAGCCATTCCAGGCTTCTGGGATCATTTCTGTAATGGTCTGGGGGCCATATGCAATGCCGGTGGTCAAACCAGGCTTGCCTGCATGCAAGGCAAGGATCTTAGCCCCTAAACTCTCTCTGGCCCTAGTCTAAATATGTTTTGGGGAGAATGGCTCCAGAGGTGCCAGGAGGCTTAAGGGCCACTCCCCCTAATTAGCTGTTGGTTGGAGGTGAAAAGATAGAACCTGAAACATAGTGTGACTCAGGCCCCGTGGTGCCAAGAACTACCGGGGCCACCCCCAGAGGTGCTCAGGGGCCATGTGTACTGGGGTTCAAACCACAGTCGAGCACGCAAGGCATGGACTTTAACCCTCTATAATCCCCCTGGCCCTGGAGAAAATACCTGTCATTTTCTTAATGAAAATACTTGACAACACATCTTTACCTAAGCTGCTTGGTGACTAATAACCTTTAAAAATGACCTCATCAATGTTTTTCCTTATGTAAGAAAAGCAGTTATTGTTCTTTATAAAAGTATATATGGGGTGGAGTGGGGGGGAGACACGTGATGGTGGAGAGTTGGCACAAGGGTCAAGGCACCTTCCTGCCTTGCATGTGCCTGATCCCTGGCACCACGTCCCTTGCTTGTGGTTTGATCTCTGGCACTGCATCCATTTCCCCCAGCACTGTCAGGACTGATCCCTGAGCACTGCTAGTATGTCCCCTACCCCCCACGCACTAAAAATTAAAAAACAAGTTCTTAAAAGAAAAAAAAAGTGAATGCTACATAGGAAAAAAATCAAATGGTTTTCAGTCCCCACTGGGCTGGAGCGATAGCACAGCGGTAGGGTGTTTGCCTTGCGTGTAGCCAACCCGGCCAAGCCAGGTTCGATTCCTCTGCCCCTCTCGGAGAGCCCGGCAAGCTACTGAGAGTATCTCGCCTGCGCAGCAAAGCCTGGCAAGCTGCCTGTGACGTATTCAATGTGCCAAACACAGTAACAAAGAAGTCTCAAAATGGAGATGTTACTGGGCCCCCTCAAGCAATCGATGAACAGTGGGAGGACGGTGACAGTGACAGTGACTGCCCGGATGGATATCAGTTTCTGTGACTATAACCCTCCTATTTGGTTGTTGTTTGTCCTTCACAGGAGGCTTTCAGCACTTGACACAGTACCTTTTAAGACCTCTGAAGAGATTTTTATCCTGTGTGCTTGATGTGTCTCATTAATAAGCTTTTCCACAGTATCTATTTTGTGTTTGTCATGCTACTGTGTGCTAAACTTATGGGATATGGTTAGTGATAGATTCTTCTGGCGGTTCTCGGGGGACCATATGGGATGTTGGGGCTCAAACCCCAGTCGGCGCCACATGCAAGGCAACCGCCCTGCCCACTGTACTATCGTTGCAACTCAAGCTGTGTGTTTTTAGTGGTGAAAACAAGCTTGTTTTGTCTTAGAAATTCATATCATAGATGTTAATCAGATTTTGCCCTTAGGTATCCTCAGTAATTTAATTTTTCTATCTACAATTTAAGTATTCTGCAGATTGATTTAGGTTCACTGTAAAAGTGTAACTCTTGAGCCACTAGGTACAGCTTCTTGAGTCCTATGACTAGTTTCCCAATATTTTCCCCCAGTACTTAGAATATTGAACATAGCTGCTAGGCTCATGCCATATTTCTTTAAAAATGGATCAGCCACAGTAGCCACTGTTTTATAAATTGTTTTCCCCTTGACATCAACTGCTGCTCAGAAAGTGAAAATGCCTACTCATTTTTTTGATGACAATCTTTATGAGACTTTTAATTTTAAAGCACATTTAAGTTTTATGAATTTTGTCTCTCCAGTATGTTTGATATTAAAATTTAAAAATTGTCAGACACTTGCAGATTTGTGGAAATCAGTATTGATTTTAGATTTTAGCATGGAAACAAAATAGAATCACCTCCCAGATGACAAGAATTGTCCATGCTGTTTTGTCTATGTTGGTGTTGTCTTGCATTGTAATTGCAGGAACAGACTATCTTCAGAGCTTTTTACTGGTAGATTCTTCTTTTTTTTTTTTCTTCGAATGAACATGAACCTCCGGTTATCTAGATAGGTTTTCTTTCATTTCTTCAGATAGGAGAAATTATGTGATAGATACCATCTTAAAGTCTGTACAGCAGAGCTTTTAAATATGTAAGTATCCAACAAGGGTATGTTTTTAAGGAGAAAAACTGTACAGAACAGAAATTTAGACCAGAGCATAGGTAAATAGAGGCAGAGACTTGATGTTTGAAGTCTGCTGTTAGCTGCTTAGTCATGCACTGTGCAACCAGTACATAGTTTGTGGGTTGGACCTAAATTTTTAATCTTCTGTTTATTAGGCAAAGTTGTCAATATAGACACGAACTCACTGAGATCCTCTATGAGGCCTGGCTTTGAAGATATCATCCGCAGGTGTATCCAGAGATTTTTTAGCCTTAACGATGGGCAATCATGGTCCCAGAAACGGCACTATCAAGAAGGTAAAGAACTTTGAGGTGGTTTTGAATTCTTTTTAAGTTGTGGTGTTTGGTGTGCTTTGAAAGCAGTTGAACTTAAAGATTTAAACCTTTTTTTTTTTTTTTAACAAATTGACGCTGGTCCACTGTCTAGCAGTTGTAAAACATTATTAAAACGTTTTTGCTAACCAGCAGTGAAAGCCATTGGCTTGAAATATTAAGCATAGGCTTAGCTGTATTTGTCATTTTGTGCACATCAATAAGGAAAGAATTCTTGAATGGCCTTATTTTAGCCTGTTCGTAACTTTGGTTCAGTCTTTGCACTGAATTTTGAAAATGCTGCATTTGAGATAGATTTCCTTTCTCTTTCTTCCATGTATACATGTTTTGCCTGTTATAGTTGCTAGTAATGGAATATTTCCCCCAACAGCCTATATCCATGGCCATGCAGAGACCCCTGTGTATCGATTCTCTTTGGCTGACGGAACCATAGTGTCTGCACAGACAAAAAGCAAACTCTTCCGAAATCCTGTTACCAATGATCGCCATGGCTTTGTCTCAACTCACTTCCTTCAGCGGTAATGGTGGATTGCTGTGTATTCTCATATTAAATAGAGCATTCTTCTCAAGATGCATTTGTGTTAATGTAAGAAGGGAGGAAATATAGCAGCAGGTGTGACGGGAAGGTTGTTGGATTTGCCAAAGTGTCTTTAGATTCCTGGATATGCTACTTTAAGTTATGTTTTATGTGAAGATGAGTGTTTGTTTATTAAGTAATTATTTCCAGTGAAACCCAGGAATTGAGAAGGGATATAACTGAGAAGATGAAAAAGCATATTGAATCTGACTAACTCTGTTACCTTTAATTTCTAGTGATGCATTACATTGCCTTTAGGGATTGTTTTAAATTTCTTTTTGAAGGTACACTTTAAGAATAAAAGACAGGGCCGAGGATGTATCTTAGTGGGTGTAGCAGTACAGTTTGTACATTGCATGGGTGGCCTCTGGGTTTGGTCCATGGCTTTTCCAGACAGAGAATAAAGGATAGTTGCTAATGCTAATGTCACTGTCACTGTCACTGTCCTCCCGTTGTTCATTGATTTGCTCGAGCGGGCCCAGTAACGTCTCCATTGGAGACTTTGTTGTTACTGTGTTTGGCATATCAAATACGTCACGGGGAGCTTGCCAGGCTCTGCCGTGCGGGCGAGATACTCTCAGTAGCTTGCCAGGATTGAACAATATATGAAGAAGTAGACTGTTCACCCATTATCTTGAGTAATTTTCAGACATCTGTAGGTTAACCCCAGATGAACAATAACTTTAGTAAAATGCCTCACTTAGATTCTAGTTAGCATAGTGTTGTTCCTTCTCACTGTTGTTGAGGTCACTTAGATTTCGGTACTTTATAAAATATTTTTGGGATAATGATTGGTAATATAGAAATGGCACGTTAAGAAATTAAGTCCCTGGGTACTTCGTCCAGGGATGAATTTGATTTAGGGTTTTTACAGGTCTGAAATTAAAAAATTTTTTTTTTGTATTTGACTTTTGTGAGATGCCAGTGTTGACCCCAGCACCTCATACAGATGAGGCACGTGCCCTCCTGAGCTATCTCCCTTGCCCTGTGAAATATGTCAGTATAAGTTTTGCTGTTCTCTTTTTTGGTAGGGAACAGAATGGATATAGACCAAATCCAAATCCTGTGGGACAGAACATTAGACCTCCAGCCCCTGGATGTAACAGTTCAGTAAGTGGCATGAACATGTCACCCAGTCAAGGTTTCCAGATGCTGAATAGCAGAACCTATGGCTTGCCTGACCCCAGCACCGCAGGGCAGATGAGTGGAGCGAGGTATGGGGCTTCCAGTAACATCGCCTCAGTGAACCCGGGGCCCGGCATGCAGTCCCCATCTTCCTACCAGAATAACAACTATGGTCTGAACATGAGCAGCCCCCCTCATGGGAGTCCTGGTCTCGGCTCCAACCAGCAGAACATCATGATTTCTCCGCGAAATCGTGGGAGTCCGAAGATGGCCTCGCATCAGTTTTCCCCAGTTGCAGGTATTTATGTTGCCTTCCCTCCCCCCACCTGTTCTTCTCTCTCTCAGTAATTTTTTTTCTTCCATACCCTTATATTCTTGTAAAATCAATTCATCTTTGTGCTGGAAACAGGAAGCGTTAAGGAACGTTTTGCTCTAGCTCTGATCTCTAATGTCTTTTCCCCTCTCAAATCCAGGTGTGCATTCTCCCATGGGATCCTCTGGCAACACCGGGAACCTCAGCTTCTCGAGTAGCTCTCTCAGTGCCCTCCAAGCCATCAGTGAGGGTGTGGGGACTTCTCTCCTATCCACTCTGTCTTCACCAGGCCCCAAATTGGATAACTCTCCCAACATGAATATTAATCAACCAAGCAAAGTAAATAGTCAGGATTCTAAGAGTCCCCTTGGCTTGTACTGTGACCAGAACCCAGTAGAGAGTTCCTTGTGCCCATCGAATGGCAGGGATCATCTCGGTGACAAAGAAAGTAAGGAGAGCAGTGTCGAAGGGCCAGAGACTCCGAGGGGTCCCCTGGAGAGCAAAGGCCATAAGAAACTACTGCAGTTACTTACCTGCTCTTCTGATGACCGAGGCCATTCCTCCTTGACCAACTCCCCTCTGGATTCAAGTTGTAAAGACTCTTCTGTGAGCGTCACCAGCCCTTCTGGCGTCTCCTCTTCAACATCTGGAGGCGTGTCTTCCACTTCGAACGTGCACGGGTCGCTGCTGCAGGAGAAGCACCGGATTTTGCACAAGTTGCTGCAGAATGGGAATTCACCCGCCGAAGTCGCCAAGATCACGGCAGAAGCCACCGGGAAGGACACCAGCAGCACTGCAGTGTCCTGTGGGGAGGGGGCCGTCAAGCAGGAGCAGCTAAGCCCGAAGAAGAAGGAGAATAACGCACTGCTCAGGTATCTGCTGGACAGGGATGAACCCAGCGACACGCTCTCGAAGGAGCTGCAGCCCAAAGTGGAGGGTCTGGACAGCAAGCCGAGTTTATGCAGTGGCCCCGCCATTCCCAGCTCAAGCCAAGAGAAAGACTCTAAAATTAAAACCGAGACACATGAAGAGGTAATTTCCTGTTTATCTGATCACATTTGCTTTGATAGAAAAACAATGTTAGGTACAGATTACTCCTATCAAGTTTATGTCATGAAAATAAATTTGAGGTACCATTTCTGTGACATTCTCTTGGGAATCAGCAAAGTGTACTATGATATCTGATATTAGAAATATCAAATGGCTATGTTTTAAAATGTGATCATTCTTGCTATCTAATTTGAAAATTTCATTGAGGTGTTTATTCTGGGAAGGAGCAGAGAAGATTAAGGGTCTGATAGAAATGGGGGGGAAAAGACCTTAGTATGAATTAGTAGAATTTTGATTTTCACCTAAAGATCAAATTCTGTACACATCATCATATGCTATGTATTTTCCAGATTCCCTTTGAGCATTCTTGGGAGTACGAATATGTTAAATTAGAGAAGTCTTCAGTTTTTGTGTTTTGCTTTGGGGCCCTACCTGGCTTAGTGGCTACTCCTGACTCAGTGCCCATGATTCTCTCTGGTCAGTGCTGGGTGACTGTGTAGTGCTAGAGATTGGATCCAGGATCCCTGCATACAAAGCATATGCTCCAATCCTTGGAGCCATCTCCCTAGCCCTGGAATCCCTAGAACGCCCGTCTCTTTGTTTACCCTGTATTCTCCAAATGTATTGACCAAAAGTCCTCCCCTCATGTTGTCGTTCCCCCCACCTCCCGCCCCCACTGTGTGTGTGCTTGTGTGGTGCCAGGGGTTGAACCCATGGTCTTGTCAGTAAAATGTGTGCTTTTACTGAGAACATCCTGGTTTCCGCCCTCTTAGAGAGCCTGGCAAGCTACTGAGAGTATCTAGCCCACATGGCAAAGCCTGGCAAGCTACCCGTGAAGTATTCAGTATGCCAAACACAGTAACAACAAGTCTCACGATGGAGACGTTACTGGGCCCGCTCGAGCAAATCAGTGAACAACGGGAGGACAGTGTTACAGTGCTATCCTGGTCTCAGAAGTTCTGCCTATTCGCTCCCCTCCCCACTCTTTGTGTGTGTGTGTGTGTGTGTGTGTGTGTGTGTGTGTGTGATGGGTGGGGATCAGACCCAGGGCCTCAAATATGCAAGGCACAATATTCCTTTTTAAAGCAGGCATGTGAATATCTTGTTGAACATTAGCTTATTGCTTTTATTCGTCTTATTTTCAGAAGGTGTGCATAGATGCGTGCATCTATAAACTAATAAATCTGATTAATGTTGTCTATATTATAAATAAAGTACTTGTTTGAAATCTCTAAATCCATTGCTTTAGCTGAGTTGCTTAAACTGTTCTGTTGAGGAAAATGCTAGGGATGAGGATCACAGTCTGCCAGCCTTTAGTTAGGTATTGTCCCTTCAGGAAAATATTATATTTGATCTCTTCCCAATTCCCCCCCACCTTCCCCATGGCATGTTTGAACCTATGTATCTAGTACTGCACACAGATTAATTTTTAAAATTTCATTTTCAGGGAACTGGAGACTTGGATAATCTAGATGCTATTCTTGGTGATCTGACTAGTTCTGACTTTTACAATAATTCCGTACCTATGAATGGTAATAATCTGGCAACCAAGCAACAGATGTTTCAAGGAACTAATTCTCTAGGTGAGAAAAAGACTAGATTTTGTTATTGTTGTCTTTTAATGCTCTTTCATGTACTTACAGACTTTTAGAGTAACATGAGGGTCCACCAGCATTTGTAAATTTGGAATACATTTTCTGCATCTTAGGTTTTTGTTTTGTTTTATTTTGGGGCTACATCAGCAGTACTCAGGAGTTTCATGTAGCTCTGCACTCAGGAATTACTCCTGGCAGTGCTTGGGGAACCATATGGGAAGCCAGGGATAGAACTTGGGTCAAGTGCAAGGCAAATGGTTTACCTGCTGTGCTATTGCTCCAGTCCTCTGCTTCTTAGATTATAAAAATACTAATTTATAATGGTATATTTGAGGGACTTTATGAATATTTCCTTTCTTTTGAATGTCCCAAATCTCATGTCAGTAATTATGGCATTTACAGGAAAAAATTTAATCCTTATTTGCTTCAGATGGTAATAGATAGCAGGACATACATTTTTTCTTAGACACAGAGAATTTAACTGTTACTTTGCTTCTTTGATGTTCACTGGTTCTTACCCAACCCTGTTTCCTCATTCATTGTTTTAAAATGGATATATTCATCTATCAGTTGAAAAAGAATAACACACGGTTATCCAGATTATATATTTTCCGTGACACTGTTCCCTAAATTGAAGTGGGCAGTGAGATTAACAAATAGGTTGGGAAAAGACAAATGAAAAAGGTTAAGCAGAAATGTTACCTTTCATGCTATGTTGATTGTGTAAACACACAAAAAATAAAACGGCCGGCGGTCTGGCCGCTTCCCCACTCCAGGGAGGTCGATGGCGATGGTCAGGTGAAGGAAGGAAACGAGGCCAAGCTAGTTGGTCTTAGTAGCCGTTTATTACATGGAAGAGATGTATGTCATGGAGGCCTCAGGAATCCTCGAGCACGTGCGCCTTTGTTCTCTCCGCTTCTGTCCTCAGCCCCATCTTCCCAGGATCTCTGATGCACGTGTCCCCCCAGAGAGCCCTGAAATCTCCCTTATATAGATCATAGTACCTCTAAAGGGCGCAATATAATGATGTCATCAAAAGGAGTTACAGAAAGAACATTGAGGCGGCAAACATACATTGTTTCCTTACACATACATTGTTTCCTTACATCCGCAGGCCAGTAATCCTGGCCTCACCTTTTCACAAACTACAAGCACTTAGATTAGCACAACAAAGACCAGTCTGCTAGAGCTTGGAATCTACATCTCCAAAAAAGCAGTCTCATCCAAGCTAGTCAGGACACACAGGAAACTGCTTCTAGGATGTGTTTCTCCTCTCCTTGTCCAACCAACATATAAGCATACATAATATTAATCATTTCGTATGGACACAGTAAGAAATACTTTGAGCTTATAGAATTGCTCTCCTAGGGCCATCTCGATCTCAGACTGCAGTGCTCAGGCCAGATATCTTTCCTATTCCTAGCAGCAGGGCCCTAGTCTTGTCGTTACTTTTGGATCATGACATCATTTGCCCATGATCAAACTCTTAACTTATAGTTAAGAATCGTGGCACCTTGGCCTGGCCCATCGCGATGCCAGGGTAGCACATAACTTACCGGCTTGCCCTGGTTCCATCCAGTCCCAAGTCGGGACCCTGCCCTTGGGGTGCTAGGAAGTGAGGGCAACTGAGGCTTAAGTTGAGAAGGCAGATGCCCAGGAGTGAATAATATTCAAAGCCAATCAATTCCTAAGTTACGGAGCATATTAATTAATTGTCTTCCTGTATCTATACAAAAGGACATTGCATTAAAGTAAACTGCTCAAAAGACATAAGGAGAGGAGAAAGGCAGTATTAACTTACAGTACAGCTTCAGTGTCTAAGAAGGATGAGACCTTACAAATTGGTTGGGGAAGAGAGCATAGAAGTGGTTACAGACTGACAAAGTAATGGGAGTGACTCGGGAGCACTGTGATGGGTACAATCTGATAAACCTAAGCTCCGTGTACTCCAACAGTTGATAAGGAAGCAACTTCTCTGGTTACATTAAATTATAAAATTTCAATTAGAAAAGTTGCTTAATAAGTATATGTGTGTGTGTGTGTGTGTGTGTGTGTGTGTGTATACACACACACACAACCTTCTGGAGTTTCAAACACTGGTAAATTTTCATTATTGAAAGCACTCTCTATCAGACTACAGAACCGTGATGAGTATTTCAGCCAGTGCAGAGACACATGGTTTATTTATTTGGAATTTGAAGTTTTTTTGATTCTTGTGCTTGGTGCTTGTTCTGTAAAGGAAGATGTTGTTTATTTTATAAAGCAGTCTTGACTGGCTGACACTGGTTCTTAGGAGTTGTATTTGAGTTTGTCTGCCTTGAGCATTGGGGGACATTTGCCCCTCATGTGTCTGTGTTCCCACAGGTCTGAGGAGCTCCCCGTCTGTGCAGCCTGTCCGTCCTCCGTACAGCCGAGCCGCGTCCCTTGAGAGCCCCGTTTCTGTTGGTTCCAGCCCTCCAGTAAAGAACATCAATGCTTTCCCCATGTTGCCAAAGCAGACCATGTTGGCTGGAAATCCAAGGATGATGGATAGTCAGGACAGTTATGGCTCCAGTATGGGTATGAAGTTCCTAATTAGTCTTATGATTAAAATTTTCTTTGGGGAAAACCAAGTTTCCAGTACTTTTTTGGGGTTTTGGTTTTTCGGCTACACTTTGCTGTGCTTAGGGACAACTGCTGGCTCTCTGTACTTCTTGAGGTGGCTGGGAGGATAGTATGTGGTGCCGAGGATTGAACTGGGGTTGGCTGCAATCAAGGCAGGTGCCTTAACCCCTATAACAATCTCCCAGTCCTAAGTTTAAAACACTAAGTATAAAGCACTTTATTAATCAGAACTGTGTTTTTAGAAAAGAAAAGTGGTTTTGTTTGGGAGCCACACCTGACTGTGTCTAGGCTTATACTTGGTTCTGCACTCAGGGATCACTCCTGGCAGGCTCAGGACCATTTGATGTGCCAGGATCGAACCCAGATCGACTGCATGCAAGACAAGTGCCCTACCCTCTGTACTAACATTCTGGCCCCATGTTAGCTAAATTCTTTTTTTTTTTTTCATTTTTTAATAATTTTATTTGTTGAATCACCGTGAGAACAGTTACAAAGCTTTCGGGTTTAAGTCTCGGTCATACAATGAAACACCTGTATCTTCACCAGTGCCCATTCTCCACCACCAAAAACCCCAGTATATCCCCATCCCAAACCCTCCCACTACCTGTGGGGCAGATGATTTCTGCATTACTCTCTATACTTTGATCACATTCAATATTTTGACTCCAGACCCACAATTATTATTTGGGATTTTACCCCAACACTCAGATCTGCTGAAAAGGCAACAGTTGACAATTTGTTTTCTATTGCTGGTTAAAAATAGCATATGATGTCACATGGCTTATAGATGTCACATGGTTATAGAATAAAATCGCGCAGTAATGACTGCGCGATTTTGAAATTCCGAAATTTTAACACTTAAATCTGGAAGGATTTCTGCCAAAACCTGCTGGGTTCTGAGATTTATTCCTGAGTCTCTGGGATCATGGCCGTTAAGCAACTTGTGATCAGGAGCCAGAAAGGCAGTTCGTGGGTGGCGACTCGGGGTCTCTTTGGGGTGGGGAGGAAAGGGCCAGCTCCACCCCCATCCCGTGAGGCCCCGTGTGTCTCGTCACTGCGGGCCCAAACCTGACTGTCCAATGGCCTCTGGAGGATGGCAGCCACCAGGCCGCCAGGGGGAGCAGGCCAAGGCACAAAACCTATTCCCACCTGGGTTGGCCCAGTGCAGGTAACCTACTGCAGGAACCGGACACATTTCTGCCAAAAGCCGCTGGGTTTCAAGATTTGTTTCTGAGTCTCTGGGATCATGGCCGTTAAGCAGTACGATCAGGAACCAGAGAGGCCATGCCTCCAATTATATAGCTGAGCTGGAGATGGTTTGTGGGTGTGTCTCCCACATACCTAACTTTTGACCGTTTACTTTCTTGGTAAACTTTGCCCCAAGTTTTTGGGGTCTGGCCAAAGGCACAGCAGCAATTTTGGGGTATCTGGAAGTCTGAAGGCGCCATCAGGCTGCTGATGCATTTGTCTCACAGGTACAGATTGACCTGCTGGTGGCGCCATACCCCTAGGCTAAATTCTTGAGAGACCTTTTTATTTTTGTTTTTGGGCCATACCAAGCACTGCTCAGGGCTTACTCCTGGTTATGTGTTTAGGAATTCTGGAGGTTCTTGGTGGGGGACATATGGTGGGGTGCCAGGGATTGAAGCGGGATAGACTGTGTGCAAAGCAAGTGCCTTACTCCCTGTCTGACCTCTCTGGCTCCCCTTTCTCTCTCTCTCTTTTTTTTGGGGGGTTGTTGTTATTTTTTGGCTTTTTTTTTTTTGGGCCATACCTGATGATTCTCAGGGGTTACTCCTGACTCTGCACTCAGAAATTACTCCTGGAGGTGCTGAGGGACCATATGCGATGCCGGGGATCGAACCCAGGTTGGCCGTATGTAAGGCAAACGCCCTACCTGCTGTACTATTGCTTAGGCCCCTCTCTGTCCTCTATTAAAGAGGTTTGTGATGTAAGTCACCTTTTAACCTGCCATGAGTATATGGCAACCGAATTGCCCTTATAGTTGACAAACTATCTATTTTTAGGATTTGGCCATGTTGTATAGAATAATTGTGTATGTGTATGTATATACACATGAAGAATTTCATAATGTTAAGGAAAAGGCTGAATCACTTTTACTGATTCTAGGTGGACCAAACAGAAACGTGACCATGAATCAGACTCCTCCCTCAGGAGACTGGGGCTTACCAAACTCGAAGACCAGCAGACTGGAATCTGTGAGTTCCAATTCCATGGGAAGACCAGGAGCAGATTATAACGCACCCAGGCCTTCAATGGGTGGTGCAATGCCCACCTTGCCCCTTCGGTCCAATAGCGTCCCGGGGGCAAGACCAACATTACAGCAGCAGCAGCAGCAGCAACAGCAGCAGCAGCAGCAGCAACAGCAGCAGCAACAACAACAACAACAACAACAACAACAGCAGCAGCAGCAGCAGCAGCAGCAGCAGATGCTTCAAATGCGTAAGCATCCTCTCCATGAAAGAAGAAAATTCAGATTGTCGGGTGATTCTTGTTTTGGGTGTATTTGAAAACATGCCCTTTTTGTTCCCTCAGGGCCTGGTGAGATTCCCATGGGAATGGGGGTCAGTCCATATGGCCAAGGAGCTCCATCTAACCAACCAGCTGCTTGGCCAGATGGCATGATGTCCATGGAGCAAGGCCTTCATGGGGCTCAAAACAGGTGAGCCTTGGTTGTATGTTGGGAAAATGTTATATCAGAATATCTAGGAAAGAGAGCATATAGGCACAAACAAACCTGCTAAAGAATGATGAAGAATTCTCTGCAAATGATGCACTGGCTTGCTAAGTAGGTGCATATAAAATTGAGGTTAAGGGTTTGGAGAGACAGCTCTGCAGATAGGACACTTGCCTTTTATGTGGCCAGCCCTGGTTCAATTTCTGGGACCCCATACGGTCCCTGATCTCTGTTAGGAGTTCTTCTTGAGCTCAGAGCCAGGAGTAAGCCCTGAGCATCATCACGTGTGGCCCCAAAATAAAAACAAACAAAAACAGCCAGGTTAAGACAGCGGTATTCACAGGGCAGGGAGGAGACAGGTGGGGCAGAGGTGATTCTAGCTGTCTGTCAAGAACTGGTGGTCAATTCTCTGGGAGTATTTTGGAGCTGATTATCTTAGTCATGTGGAAATCATACAGTGTCATGTGAAATTATTACCAGTTCGATGTAATAAATGCTATTCATCAGGTAACCCTTGGTTTTCCAGAAGATAGATTTTTAAAGCTTGGAAATTCATTTCTAAAGATATTTAAAGTATTTCAGGGATGGTAGTGAAAGTTGAACTCGTAGCACTTTTAAATTTTTGTAAAAAGGAAAATGATGGAGTAACTCATTTTTATTGAACTTGATCATTAACTCATTTGCATGAAAGAAAGTACCTGTCACAGGCAGTTTTAATTTGAATTCCGCTGTAAATTAGGCAAAATGTTAATTTATTGAGTAGCATTGAATGAGTATATTAATTACACGAGTTATTATTAACTTAAGTGCTACCCCCTCTTAAAAGTAGTTTCGATTTCCTAGAACTTTTTGAAGGAAGGATAACTTTTAACTCCACTGCTCAGTGATGGTTTCAAGAGTTGTTCACCACACGGTGGGGCTGCAGAGTTTGTATTTATATGCCCGTCTCTGAGTTCTGTGGGCCTAGTATTTAAAAAGGGATTTTGGCTGGTCCCAGGCATAAACAGGTCAGGCGTAGTCTGGTACTTCCATCCCTCCTTCTGTTCTTTAACGAGGACTTTAAATGTTGATTTCCCTCACTATTAACAGTTTTTTCTTGTAGAGAAGCACACCCTCTTCACCTTTCTTTCTTGGAATCTCTAATATGTTCCAAACACCTGAGGGTTTGGCTGTTCCATTTTGGTAGTAGGACTGGGGGTTGTCAACTCAATCTTATGGTGGGTGATAGCTAGTACAGCTTAAAATTGTGGGCTTTAAATTTAAGTTGATGCCATTTGCTGTTCTCTAGTTAGTTGGTATATTATTTACCCTTGCAGTATTTGAGTTAATTATTATATATTTAAAATACTTCCTGTGGTTGCTGTGATTTTTGTTTTGTTTGGTGGGGGGGGGGGTCATACCAGTATTGCTCGAGGACATATTTATTCCCTACTGAGTGCTCTGGAATGGCACTTTAGGGTTTTGGGAACCATTTGTGCTGGGGATTGAATCTGGGGCTTCAACATGTGCTGTACCTCAAAAGGCTACAGCAGATGCTGTAGACCTTGAAGTATCTTCTTCACCTGATTTTTTTTTTTTACGAGTAAAAGCACCATTGGAATTGATTCAAATCTCTTTTCAGACCACTCCTTAGGAATTCCTTGGATGATCTGCTTGGTCCATCTTCTAACCTGGAAGGCCAGAGTGATGAGAGAGCATTGTTAGACCAACTACATACTCTCCTGAGCAACACGGATGCCACAGGTCTGGAGGAAATTGATAGAGCTCTGGGCATACCTGAACTTGTAAATCAAGTAAGTAGCAGTAGCATAGAAGTACACGAGTGTGTGTGCTGATACCTGTGTACAAGCGTGTCATGTGCACATTCATGAAGCCGTCACTGTATCACTGTCATCCCGTTGTTCATCGATTTACTCTGTTTGTCCCAGCCCTGCGATTTTAGCGGCCTCTCCTTACTCATCTTTCCCAACAGTTGGAGGCTCTTTCAGGCTCAGGGGAATGAGACCTGTTAATAGTTACTGGTTTTGGCATATCAAATATGCCATGGGGAGCTTGCCAGGCCCTGCCCATGCTGGTGGGATACTCTCGATAGCTTGCCAGGCTGAGAGGCATATATATACATATATATATGGGCTGGAGCGATAGCACAGCGGGTAGGGCGTTCGCCTTACAAGCGGCCAACATGGCCGACCCGAGTTCGATTCCTCCGCCCCTCTCGGAGAGCCCGGCAAGCTACCGAGAGTATTCGATATGCCAGACACAGTAACAACAAAGTCTCCAATGGAGACATTACTGGGCCCGCTCGAGCAAATCGACGATCAACGGGAGGGCCTTTACCTTTACCTATATATGTGTGTATATATATGCATATATATATACACACACACACACATACATACATATATACATATTTCTCTCTCTGATTTGTTGCCTACTATCTGAACTCCATCAAACATGGTGTGGTAATTATGGAAAATGGGTAGGAAGTGTCATATGATGTGTCATGCGGCTGGTCCGGAAAGTGGCCTGGAGCATGGCAGCAGTTGGGTAGTGGAGGTCGGGTAGTGGGGGTCGGCTGCAGGGGCTGCCCTCAGGGGCGCCCCAAGTGAAAACAACCTGGCACAGAGTCCCATTTTTGTGAAGCCATACACAAAAATATTTTAAAAACATTCACTACATCTGTGGATACCAGCATTACATTTATATAGGAGACCTTATAATTGGTGATACTACTTTCAGCAACAACCATTTTATAAAGAGGTCAAGTTTCAGGCAGTAGGAGAAACAGAAAGAAATAAAACTAATTTTTACTTTCTATCTCTTTATTGAGGGAATTTTGGTTTACATTGCCTTTATTTCAGGAGGTTTTTTTTTTCCCCCTCCACTTCAAAAGTCAAGTTGTCGCTTCAATTCACCAAAATGCGGAAATTCTTCCACCATCATCTATTGGACCCCTTTCACCCCCTTTGTGCCCCTAAGTACCCCCCACCCCCTTTGGCAACCTCAGTTCCATGGTCTAAATCTATAGGGTAGTTTTGGAATGATTTTATCTATTCCTTTGCTTTTAAAATAATTGGTTTTTTTTTTCTTTTCTAAGTGCTGTTTAGTCATGTTAGTCAAGAATTCTCTCTCTCTCTCTCTCTCTCTCTCTCTCTCTCTCTCTCTCTCTTTTCTTTTTGGGTCACACCTGGTGATGCTTAGGGGTTACTCCTGGCTCTGTACTCAGGAATCACTCCTGGTGGTGCTTGTAGGACCATATAGGATGCAGGGAATCAAACCCGGGTCGGCCGCGTGCATGGCGAACACCCTATCTGCTGTGCTATTGCTCCAGCCCCCAAGAATTCTCATTTTTATAACAAGCTCTCTACTACCAAACAAGCAGTATGCATTTTGAAGAAGCTAGCTTTTTTTTTTTTTTAAAGTAGTTTATATGCCTGACTGGGAAACCTGTAAAGGTTGGCTGCCCCAAAAGACTCCATCCCTCTCGGAGAGCCCGGCAAGCTACTGAGAGTATCCCGCCTGCACAGCAGAGCCTGGCAAGCTACCCGTGGCGTTCTCGATATGACAAAAACAGTAACAATGATGGTCCTCATTCCTCAATATGCCATCGGGCTGCACTAGCACGTGACAGGGATGGATGGAGATGTTACTGGTGCCCACTCGAGCAAATTGATGGACAACGGGGTGATAGTGATAGTAGTATAGTGAAAGTAGTTTAAATAGAACTTGATAATGATAAAAGTGTGAACACCCCCACCCCCATTATCATTTGCTTACAAACACTACGCATATATCTGTATTTTGGAAGCATGTGTTTCATAGTGTTTTTGTTTGTTTTTTGAGAGGGTGAGGATGTGATTGGCACTGTTCAGGCCCGTGCACTCCGTGAGCGCGCTGCTAGCCTGTTGGAGAGACAAGGGATCCACATGGAGGGGAGCTGTCAGTGTGGCCGTGGGGAAACACATGTTTTCTCAGAGTAGTGTTGTATGTTTTCATGCCAGCTGAGCAGTGAGAACGTGTATCTCGAGGGAATGTCAGGCTCCATGACCCTGATACTGAAGAATGGATTCTAAACTGACTGGGGGTTGACTTGAGGGTCACACAGAGAACCGGAAGCTAGTACTACCCCTTGAATTTTTATTTAAGATGCAGATAACTTTTTCTTTGTCCCATGATCAAATAGCTAATGGTTTATATAGAAAAATCTGACAACTGCAATAAGTAAGGAGGAAAACAGGTAGAAGCCCACTAATCTTAACACAGAATAATGCTTTGGATTGTATTTTTTAAGAAATGGGAGTAGGGTCAGAGAGAGAACACTGGGCAGGGTGCTTGCCTTATACATGACTCCGTTCGATCCCTGGCACCCCAGATGGTTCCCCGAGTCCTACCAAGAGTGATTCCTCAATACTGAGCCAGGAGTAAGCCCTGAGTACTACTGGATGTAGGAGTAGGGCCAGAGAGATAGCCCACAGAGCCTTGTAATATGGAGTGCTGATGGATGTGACACTCCCAATCCTAGTTTAAAATATATATATATAAATTATATATATATTAGGGTTCAGAGGGCCTTGCAGTATGAGGTGCTGGGTATCAAACCAGGCTTTTTGCATGCAAAGCATGCACTCTGCCCTTTGAGCTATATTCCTGGCCCCTAGGTTTACTTTTCAGATCATTTTCTGGTGGATAATTTTATATTTTTGTTGATCTGCAACAGTTCTCTGTATGTTTAATTATGGGTTTATTTGTTGACTCCTTCATTAAACAAATCTTTTTTTCTACACACTTTTTTCTTAGAGGCTGAGAAGCAAGCATGAGCAAATTAAATTTCTTTTGTCAAAGCTCATATCCCATTTGGCCAGGTAAAGATCAGGCAAGAGCGCCTGCCTTGGACCTGGTGTAATAGAGGTTCTGAGGAAAGGCATGTGGCATTATTGGACGAGGCTGTGCAGTCAAGGCGCCTCTCCTCCAGTGGGCGCCAGCGAGCGGTCTCTGCCCAGGAATGAGAAGACACATAGAGTCAAGTATTTAACAGCCTCTTTGTGGTTTAGTGTGGCAGGCTCCCTTCTTCCAAAAGAATTCATTTTGATTTCCTTGTTCTGTCATCTGTGGGATGTTATTTTGTACTCATTCTGGAGAAGTGATGCTTGGCTTATAGTAAGCACTTGAAAAAGACTTGTTGAATGAGTAGCTAGTCAGCCCCTCCAGCTGAGAGGAGTGGGTGACTGCCTTCAGAATTCACACAGCTGACGAGCGGACACGCTCTAAGGCACCTGAGTTCCTGCTGATGGACCTGTCTCTGCCAGAGTTACTGCTTACTGTCTCCAAAGCATTCGTGTGCAGATACTATGAAATTTCATTCATCACGATGATTTTAATTTTATATTTGGCATGGAGGTCTGTGTGGCATACAGTCTGGAAGTCTGGTTTGGAACAAATAATAATTCTCTGGAGCGATAGCACAGCAGGTAGGGCGTTCGCCTTACAAGCGGCCAACATGGCCGACCCGAGTTCGATTCCTCCGCCCCTCTCGGAGAGCCCGGCAAGCTACCGAGAGTATTCGATATGCCAGACACAGTAACAACAAAGTCTCCAATGGAGACGTTACTGGGCCCGCTCGAGCAAATCGACGATCAACGGGAGGGCCTTTACCTTTACCTTTTAATAATTCTCCAGGATTTAAAATGTTACATATACTTGGCTCAGAAACTATCTGTTCATATGTAGAATATAAATAAACGTATTAGGCTGAGTGGAAAACAGGGATGGGGTCAGGTGGAAGGGGCAAAAGGGTCTTTTCCTGGTGAGCGGGCATTGGAACCTTGGTGTTGGGGGGGCTGAATTCTGTACAGATAAAGAGGTATCAAGCTGTGACCTTGGAATCTCACAGTCACTCTCCTCCTGTTGTTCATCGATTTGCTCTAGCGGGTCCAGTAACATCACTATTGTGAGACTTGTTACTGTGTTGGGCATATCGAATACGTCACGAGGAGCTTGCCAGGCTTTGTTGTTCAGTCAAGAGACTCTCGGTAGCTTGCCAGGCTCTCCGAGAGGGGCAGAGGAATCAAACCCATGAATCAAATCAGCAGCATGCAAGGCAAACTCCCTACCCGCTGTACAGTCACTCAGGCCCCTTACTGTACTTTTAACCAACAATAACCCAAATTTTAACCAGTGCTTCTGTGGACTTTGTGCTAGGCGTGGGACGAAGCTGTGAAAAGATGTGTCAGGGACTGTGTTAGATAGGAGACCTCATTTGCTTTTGGAGCCTATGACATCACTGCTCACATAAATTGGTGTTTTCACATTTTGAGAGGGACTTTTTCAACTGTTTTCCACCTGAAACCTTTTTTCCTGACCCTGCTAACATGGGTTAGCATTGCCAGAAAAACCTTGGATTCATTATGTTTGGTAGTAAAGTCATTTTATTTAATTGTGCATTCAGAACCTTTTATCTGGCTCTTCCCCATTTAGTTACATATCCCATCTGGGGTTTAGGAAGCTAGACTTTGGGACATTTGATTGATTTTTTTTTTTTTTTTGATGGGCCTGCCCAAGCAGTGCTCAGAGTTTTGAGGGGCACTGTGACTCCTGGCCAGTCTGTCCGGCAGTTCAGTGCAAGGACCTGAGGCGGCAGTGCTGTTTGGGGCCTGTATTTCTGAGGATTCCTCGACCACCCTTGCAGTGACTGGGGACTTCCCAGCTACACTAAGCAGTGCTCAGTGGACCGTGTGGTGCTGGGACTATACTGTGACCTCCAGAATGTTTGATTTCTGTTGCTTTCCCTGATGTACTATGCGATTCATTTATGTGTTTGATGTTTAAGGGACAAGCTCTGGAACCCAAACAGGATGCTTTCCAAGGCCAGGACCCAGCAGTACTGATGGATCAGAAGGCAGCGTTATATGGGCAGACGTATCCAACACAGGGGCCTCCGATGCAAGGAGGCTTTAATCTTCAGGGACAATCACCATCTTTTAACTCGATGATGAATCAGATGAACCAGCAAGGCAATTTCCCTCTCCAGGGAATGCACCCTCGGGCCAATGTCATGCGCCCCCGGACCAACACCCCCAAGCAGCTCAGAATGCAGCTTCAGCAGAGGCTGCAGGGCCAGCAGGTAACCGACACCTCCGCTTTGGCTAGAAGTAGCTTTCCTTTGGGCTGCCTCTTCTGTTTTTTTCAGACTGTATCTTCTGCTGTTTTGCTTATTCCTTGTAAAGAAACTCCCTTTTTCACTCCTGGTAACATTTTTATGTGCAGTGTGGATGGTTCCTTGTTAGGGAGTGGTAATGCCAGAATTGGGGAGTCTCTCTGTAAGAATACTTCATGCTGCAGGTTGAAAGTTAAGAATGTCAGAGAGAATGTTCTTGGGAAGGAAAAGTTTCTTCATGACTTGATACAGTCAGCCTTACAAGATTACGTCGTGTTTTAAAAATGTAAATACTCAAACCATTATGACTAAGCTTTCTTTTTATGGGACCTCTACTTTCTAGTTGTTTTACCAAAAACCTCTTTTATCTGTGGGGGATGTAAGTCAGTGGTGGAGCATTTGCCTTGCACGTCTGAGGCCCTGAGTTGAATCCCTGGCTCCATTAGCGGGGGTGGGGGGTTGGGGGTGGTGATCTTTTTTAATATTCAAAGATGACTTACAGTTTTTCATCATTTCATATTCTAAACATCAACAGATTAAAGAAATTTATAGTGACTTCTGTGTGCTGCCTTATTAAATATAGTAGAGCAGAACCTTATAAAGCAGACATACAAGTTTCGAAATTAGAAAGCCAGAGACTGTTTTGGGGGGGAGAGTGGAGGGATTTTTGAGCCACACCCACTGTACTCAGAGACTCCTCCTAGCTCTGTGCTCACGGGTCACTCCTGGCAGTGCTTCAGTGCTTAGGGGGCAACCAAACTGGGGTCAGCTGCATGTAAGGCAAGTGCCATGATCCTGTAGCTCTCCAGCTCAAACTGGGTGTAGTTGTGTTTCCAAGTCAGCTTTTACTTATGTTCATAGAATTAGTTTACATTTTATCTTTCTCTCCACTGTTCATGGTATCATTACTTTCACCTCCCCCCACCACTGTAAATTACTTAGGAAGGGGAACAGAAGATAGTTCAATATTCAGAATTGTGCTGATCAGGTTGGAGCTGTTTCCCGAAGGGCTCAGGAACCCAGAGAAGAAAATATGGCTACTAAAGCCTTTGAGTTCGCATGAGAGCTATTCTTTAAACTGCAATGTTGCACTCTCGCTTTTCCTCCTGAAGCCAAGCAATAAAACTTCACAAGTAAGCTAGCTTTTCAGCACTGAACTCCTGCAAAGTATGAAGTATTGGTTTGGCTTAGCCCATTAATGGGTTTGGCGACATCAGCATGACCTCACTGGGTAGTACTGAAGAGTTGGAAAACTCTTCCGGGCTCGTTACCACACTTCCTCACCCCCTAACCATGTCTCTCCTCAGTTTTTGAATCAGAGCCGTCAGGCCCTTGAGATGAAAATGGAGAACCCCAACGCTGGTGGGGCGGCGGTGATGAGGCCCATGATGCAGCCTCAGGTCAGCTCCCAGGTGAGGATGCCCAGGCTGCCACATGTGCTTGGTGGCTGCTCTCAGTTCAGTAGGGAACAGAGGCACTCACAGGTTTTTTGTGTGAGAACTGCAGCGAGAACTCAATGGGCTGAGGCACAGGTTTTGCGCTGGGAGCAGGTCCCAGCTCTCTGCTGGGATTGACCCAGGGCCTCCTCCGGGCAAAGCTCTGCCTGCATGCTGCCTGCTGCCTGCTCTGTTCGGCCTCTCCACCTCTTTCAGATGGCTTCAAGAGGCTGCGGGTCCTTCGGGGGTAGATTCCTGTTTATCTGAATAGAAACCACTGCCCCTTCCCTATTTCAACCATCCCCTCTCCCCAAAAGATACTATCCTGTCTTTTTTCCTTTTAGTTTTTATTTCAGACTTTGAGACATTTATCTTCAGCTTCTACCCCTTCAGGCTCTCTTCAGTGAGGTGAAAGCTTGGCCCCTGCCTTCTTTTCGTGTCCTTGCCTCAAATTCCCAGGTCCCTTTTTCTGTATTGCTGGGGCTTCCTGCTCCTCCAGCCTTGCAGATACATAAGTAGCCAGAAAACTAACATAATTAGAGTTTGGCCTTTTTTCCCTTCCTGGTAATTATAAAAAAGAGACTGCATACTATTTCTCTCTGAAATGGATGTATTATTGAGGTGATATATATATATATATGAAATTGACTGGTTCTTGCTCTGTGTAATTGTGCCTTTTTTTTTTTCCTGGGGATATTAGCAGGGTTTTCTTAATGCTCAGATGGTTGCCCAGCGCAGCAGAGAGCTGCTAAGCCATCACTTCCGACAGCAGAGAGTTGCAATGATGATGCAGCAGCAGCAGCAGCAGCAACAGACGCAGGCCTTCAGCCCACCCCCCAACGTGACTGCGTCCCCCAGTATGGACGGGGTTTTGACAGGACCTGCGATGCCACAAGCTCCACCCCAGCAGTTTCCATATCCACCGAATTATGGTAAATCGGCTGTGAGATCTGTGTCAGAGTTGCATTGATGAGGGTGGATGGTTGACTGTATCTGTTGCATATATTTAAAGCTGTTCACGCTGTCTCGTCATTTCAGAGAAATGAAATGAATGAAAACTTGACAATGCATTCCAGCAGTTGAGGCAGATGTCTTCTCTCCTGGGGGCATATTTTTCCCAACTTTTTTGCCTGACTTCCTTTCTGGGTGGTTTGGATATATTATTCATGAATACTAGCTTAATACAAAAATGCATATATACTTTTTGGCCAGGAACATGGACACATGAAGCTGTAGGTACCTGTTGGGGGTTTTATTTTAGGGTGCATCTTTGCCAGTTGGGGTAAAGCTTTCTATCACTCTCTAGAGGAACAGAGTAACGCGATTGTGTGATGGGAACCCCTTTATGCAGAGTACCCATTGTACTTACTGACTTTTAGGGACCAGCCAGGGTTTCTTTAGCTGGGCCCCCCAAGATAGTCCAGGGGGCCACAGGTGAAAAATCAAGTAAACCCTGGCACAAGATTAACTGGCCAGCTGGTCAGACAGAGGGACCACAGGAAGGAACTAGCTTGGAAGGGGCCATGATTGGGGCGAGCTTGAGCAAGCCTGGGTCAGCATGGCCTCGGTGTGAGCCACCCCCTCTGGCTGTGATTGTGGAGAGGAGAAGCAGTAACTGGCCAGTAGCAGCTCCCAGCACTGTCCATTGTCTGTTTGAAGAACAGAAGGCTGTTGCTGAAAGCTGACTGTCCGAGGAGATGTAGCCATTGCACAGTGTAATGTTTCCTTTCTTGTTTACAGGGATGGGACAACAACCAGATCCAGGCTTCGGTCGAGTCGCGAGTCCTCCCAATGCAATGATGTCATCAAGAATGGGTCCATCCCAGAACCCCATGATGCAGCACCCTCAGGCAGCAACCATGTATCAGTCCTCAGAGATGAAGAGCTGGCCATCAGGAAATGTGGCCAGGAACAGGTAAGACCGTTGGCTGATGCCAAGAGATTGGAAAAGTCATCCCTGGGCTTTCCACTGAAGACTGTTTCACTGGAGGATGAGGTGGCCCGAGTTCAGATTAGAACATGTGTACTTGGGGCCCAGGAGAGTGTACCGTGCACTGAGACCTAGCTTCAACCCAGCCACTGCATGTCCCCTGAGTATGACCAGGAGGATCCCCCAGGCTGGGAACAGCCCTTGAGCACTGTCACGTGTTGCCTCCAAACCACACACACACACACACACACACACACACACACACACACTTGTCCATTTTGAGACTCCTTCCGCACAGGCCTGCATCCAGGAGGGTCTGCGTTGAGGAAAGGAGAAGGCGAGCTCTCAGTCTACTCTGCGTTTATTGGCACGTGATGCTCGCCACGTGCGTGTCGGTTATCGAATGGCCCAGAAGGTGACCTTGCAATCTTGCTCTTCACTCACAGCTCCTTCTCCCAGCAGCAGTTTGCCCACCAGGGCACCCCCGCGGCGTACAGCATGGTGCACATGAACGGCAGCACTGGCCCCCTGGGGCAGATGGGCATGAGTTCCATGCCCATGTCCGGAGTGCCTCTGGCTCCTGATCAGGTAGGGGCTCTTTTTACAAATGTGTGCACTGTTGTTTTCTGGGGAGCACTAAAGGCTCAGGTGGATTTTAAACTTGGATATAATCTGTAAAAATCATCACTGAAAAAACATTTGGCTTGAAGGCACTGCACCCTCCGACCCTCACAGCCACGTCACTGACCCAGAGCAGGGTTGGAAGCCCCGAGTTAGAGGGCTTTTGAGAGTTTTTTCCTAGGAAGTCTTGCACAGTGCATGCGTTGACTCATATTTCTTGTCTTTGCCTATTAATAGAAATACTGCTGACGTCTCCACATGAGGAACTGCAGGGAAGTCACTGTACAAATGACACTGCACTAGGATGATCAGAGTCACTGTTCCAGATACTCAGCTTGGAAGGATGGACCAGCTTTGATATCTGCCAAGGATGGTTCAAGTGATGTCCCTTGAGCAGGACTGGAAACCCAGCTGAAGCACAGTATCGACCTGTGTCTCGTGGTGTTCGGAAATAGTTCTGGCGTTCTGCCTCTTAGGGATGTGATTCTGGAGGTTCAGTGTGTTTCACTAATCACTGAACTTCCCTTTGTCACTTCTTCTGTGCTTGGCTATCCAGTCTTTGAAATAAGTGCAGGTGGGCCAGAGAATGTTGGAGAAGTTGAGAGAGATGAAAACATCAGGTTTCTCTAGTTGCAGTGTTGGATGGGAAGCAGCCCTGGTCTCCTTTCTGTGTTTTTGTCACTGTCAAGTAGCTGTATTGTCCCTGTCCCGTGGATCTGGCGTTTCTGAGCTCTCTTCCTTTTTGTTCTACAGTTGCGGGATTGCTCTGTCACTGTTTATGGTGGTTTCGGGCTTTCTCTTAATTAGCATTTCCATCTGCACCTAATGCTCTATAACACTTCACCTCCAGGAATTGTTCTTGATGTAAATGACTTTGTAGAAGGGAAAACAAGATGACAGTATTTAATTGCAGTAGTAGCAATTTTTCACAAGCTAACGTGCAGCTGAGTGCACTTTATTTAAAAAGTAATGGATAAATGCAATATTCTGAGGTCTTGAGGAATAGTGGAACCACATTCCTGGTTTTTGTCTGAATGAATCTTGGACAAGAACTGCTTCGTTGCTGTTGAGAGTGCCGAGGTCACCCTTCGCCTAGATGCTAGAGCAATAATGCTGTTTGAGAATAAACTGCAGAAAATCAAGGCCAGGTACTGCATTCTGAATCAGAATTCCGCAGTGTTTCTGTGAATAGTCTTCTCTTTTGTAAATAGGACCATTAAGATATTGTATTATGTAAAATATGTACATACCATTTTTTTTTTGTAGGTCACAGCAACTCATTTTTACAGAGTTTGTGAAGCTGAATATTTAATGTTGTTGATTTCAGTAAGCTCAGCATTGGTGAGGTTATCCATATAAGTAACATCCTTGAATTTTATGGTCTGGGGGAGGAGAGGGGCCACAGCTTTCTCCTCCCGTCTTAGATGCCTGTTAATCGCAATGTTCTTAAAAATAATTTGTTTAGGTGTAGACATTTGCAATTTAAAAAAAAAATTCCTCTACCAGAACTAAGCACTTTGTTAATTTGGGGGAAATAATAGATATGGGCAAATTACAAAAAAAAAAAAAAAGAATTTTTAAAAAGAATCCTGAATTCTAAGCAGTCTCAAAGTTAAATAGTAGTGATTTGTGGCGTTCCCAATTTGAGACAGGACCATATCTTTTGGTCCAGCTCAGGTGTGAGCCTTGTGTGTGTCATAGGACCTGGCTTCTCTGAGACCCTGGGGGATGAGGCTGATGTACGGTTTCTAGTGGTCACTCAGTACCCAGTGCAGGGCCCGAAAGGGATGTCTCTCCATCTCTGAGTAACAGGAGGGCATCCCTTAAGCCATGTGGTCCCCTGAGCTTCGGGCTGAGGGCTGCTGCCCCTCTCTCTTCCGGTGACACTGGTTTGTTCGTTAGGTTCAAGCAGTAGGATGAAATTAGGTTTCTGGAATATCTATGAATTTCATACATTTCTGCTAGCCTTGGTGTCATTTTCTAGCAATAATTGAGGTCCAGTTCAATTATTATTACTATTATTTTTTTTATTCACACCATCGATCTTTTTAGGTATCTTTGAAGGTAAGATCATGTAATTTCGGAGTTAACGGTTGTCTGGAACCTGGCATTTGCAGAACCCCCACTAGAGTGCATCTGACACTGTCTCTCCCCCCCTCGCTTGTTGAAAAGCAAATTGAAGACTCAGTTCCTCAGCGCCCACCCTCCTGCCCGCAGACCCAGGGCCTGGGTCCCGCTGAGAAAGGGCCTGTGTGTAGTCACAGCTGTGTTGGGAGTGCCCGAATCATGTTGTCTGTGTGTGGAGAGATGCAGAATGGTGCTCTTCTTTACCTTTTTTGACTTTTAAAAGTTAAAAACTTTTGTGATTCTTTTTCCTCAGCCCTGACTCCAGGCTGACTGGAAGGCAGCCACTCCCTTTTATATAAAAGTGAAGTTTATTAAGTTTTTATATTTTCTACTTGTTCATTTTATTAGTGCAAATTTAAGGTTTTGATTTTACTTTCAATAGATACAGTCTTTGAGATAATTTCTCTCTATTGCCCTTTAAATCTTTGTACTTCTGCTGCCTACCTCTCCTTAGACCCTAACCCTTCACTACTTTTTAAAAACTTGGTATCTGTTGGGTAAACAGTTTAAGTACTCTTTTCATCTGCTTTTAGAATGTGAGATATTTCCAGTACCTACTTTTTTGCTGAATCCAAAGATATATAAATATGAATATATATATTTTATAAAGATCAAAGTGAAATAAAGGAGAGATTCATGTTTCTCTCTTAAAAAAAACCACACTGTTAATGTTCATATGATGATGCCACTTTTCTGAATCGTGCGTCTTGATGGAGAGGTGTAAATACCAAGTCAACAGAACCGCTTAATCAGTATTTAATATCTAAGGCGAGTCGAGGGTATAGGGGCGGGTGCTACGGAACATCCTTAGCTTGCGCTCCTAGAGGTTCTGAGCCAGGAGTCAGTGCATCTGGGGAGGCCACGGGACGTCCCTGCCAGTTCCCGCGGGGCCTGTCCAGGGTCCAGTCGGGGCCAGAGGCCTCCCTGCACCTCTGCTCAGGACTCAGCAGAGGCCGATGCTTGGTCATGGCAGGATGTTTTCTCTTTTTCCACAATGTAGAATTTTGAAGTAGCTGGAAATGTCATTCTGAGAGCAATATTTAAATTCTCAGGAATTGACTGACAGTATTGAGAATGAATTAAGTTTAAAATCAAGTTTACATTAAATGTTTTAAGAAAAATCTGAACTGTGTGGGGTGACTTATGAGAGGGCTGGGTGGTGAGTACCGGCTGGCTGCCCGGCACTGTAAATAAAGGTTTCTATTTAAAACAGAAGCTCACACGCTCGTCTCTTTTTCCTCCTACCGCAGATGCAGTCAGGGTAAAGAGGGGAGTGAGTGTTTTTCTCTCTGGGCGCTGGAAACCAGGACCAGTCCTTATAAAAGGGTCATGCTTACGGGTGAGCACCAGGTGTTAAGTGAGACGTGGGTGATGAGGTGAGGCCGGAGCCAGGGAGCCTGGAAGCCTGGAATTCTGATTGCTGGTGTTTACCAGTTTAACTACCTGGCCTCTGACAGTGGAACACTTTGCAGTTACTTAAGACACTTCTGAGCCTTTTTGGCTTTCATGGAAGACTTACCTGTGGTAAACGTGTTTCATTCATTCACAGCCATCTGGTCCCCTTAAAAATAAGACATCCGCTTCCAAAATGGTAAGAACTGGTCGTACCTCAAAAATTTTCTTAAGCACACCAAACCCCCGTAAGGATGGCTTTTACAAATCCCAGACGTCACCCTCCACCACCTGCTCATTACTGACTATGGTTTTTGTACACTGCTCGACAACAGACTTCCTTTCTTTTCCGTACAATTGTGGGACAGACAGAACAGGTACCAGGACCAGTGTCCGCCTGGGAGGAACAGAAACGGCCACACCTGCTTGCTTTGATACGGGCCCGGAGCATTTATTGACACCACTACTCTTGAACTCCGGATTTCTCATTAGTCAGATTCCCCTACAGGTTCCCACGTGGGGACATGGAAATCACCAGGTATTTACAGCAACGTCAGTTTCTTTAGAGGCCATCAGGGTCACAGTGCTTGATAAATGTCACTGCTTTTGTGCTTACTGGTTCTCATCAACCCCCGTGCGGTTTCCAGCATCTGCATTTGCTGTCCTGATTCCTTGTGGTGAACCAAAAGAACAAGCAGATTTTAAAACAGGGCTGCTTTTCCCTGAAGATATTTAAAAAAAAAAAAAAAAATCCAGTGACTCTCTCACCTTGGGGGAAATTTCTAAGAAAATCTCAGTTATTTTTTCCCTGTGAACCTCTAGAGGGTTAGTGGTGATTTGATATAAAATGCATTTTGTGCAGCTGGTGAGGTATAATCCAAAGCAAAAGCAGGGACAAAAACGGACTTCCCGAGGTCTCAGCACTCCCGAGGGTTCTCTTCCAGCGTTTGCCACGGTGACTGAAAGCAGGGTCTCTCCGGCCTGTGGCTGCCAGCATTGCTTTGCTTGAAATCATAATTTTCCCCTGACCATGTGGTCAGACAGTGCCTGCCTTTGCAGGGCCGCCTCGTGCTTAACCTTCCCAGCCTTCCCACAGCTGTCCCCTGTGGAACAAAGCAGACTCGTGTCAGTGTTTGACCAGCTTGCTGCCGACAGACCCCCTAGTTGGCAAAGCAGTGGATGTGGCTGCTGAAAGGGACCTCTCGGCCACTCACAAAGGCCTTCCCCTGACCCCGTCAGCTAGAGGTGTTGCGGTGTGCTTACACACTCATGGCAGGGAAGGGCACGGATTGAGCAGTGACAGCACAGCTCCGGACTGCTGACTGGCCTCTCAGGTCCTGTTGGCATGCCTTGGAGGTTGAGGAAAAGTGAGTCGGCCAGTGGCTGCCAATGGCAGGCCAAGGAGGTTGGTCTGCAGGCTCATGCCAGATTAGTTGCCAACATCCTGTAGTTTGTGATTTTCCCCAAAGTCTTATCCCATGCATGCCCTTCCCTGCCAGTTTGTGTATTTTCAAGAGGGGCTGTGTATTAAGCGATGCCCAAGACTGAGCTCGGGGCTTTGTATGTGCCAGCCCAGCACTCGGCCACCTCGGAACTGGAGTTTGGAAACACTTCACGCCACTCCCTCCCCCACCCGCTGGCATCTAGAACCGAGGCGCATTTCTGCAGCCACAGCCTTCACCCATGCAAATACTTCCTGCCTCTGGGGTGGCCTCGAGGCTACCAAGCACAGCAAAGTAGCCCTCAAGGACACAGGCATTTCACAGGGAGGATGCCTTCACTGTGGAAGACAGGGTGTGCACATGAGGTTGGGCAAGTAGGTGGTGCCAGATGGGGCGTGCACATGGGGTTGGGAGGTAGGTGCTGCTAGACGGGGCATGCACAACGCATAGGGCAGGTCGGGGTCTCAACTCACAGTGACTTGGAAGAAGGTCTCTTCATTTCTGGCCACTTTCGACGCTGAAACTGCCTAAGTTTTCAAGTGTCAAAAGGAGAATGCACATTAGCCATCACTAAGAAAGAAGGCGTTACCCCAAGGAGCTACGCAAAGAAGGTATCTTGGGAGGCACCTATGGGGGGTGGGGGGTTCTGGTAGGCCCGAGAAAGGGCTGGGACTTTGACCAATAGGTGGACGGAGATAAGAGACCTTCATCAGAAGCAAAGCCAATACCTGTATTGCTCATAGCTGCCTCCATCTTTAAGACCTAAAAGAGAAATGAACAAAGTTTAAGGGCAAAATGTCAAACTCTGTAACTGCCCCTTTCCTGGTTTTTTTTTTTTTTTGGTGGTGGTTGTTTTTGGTTCACACCCAGTCATGCTCAGCTGGAGCCATAGCACAGCTGGTAGAGCGTTTGCCTTGCACGTGGCCCACCCGGGTTCAATTCCTCCGTTCTTCTCGGAGATCCTGGCAAGCTACCGAGAGTATCCCACCCGCACGGTGGAGCCTGGCAAGCTCCCCGTGGCGTATTCGATATGCCAAAAACAGTAACAATAAGTCTCACAATGGAGACGCTACTGGTGCCCGCTCGAGCAAACTGATGAACAACGGGAGGACAGTGCTATAGTGCTACCCAGTCATGCTCAAGGATTACTTCTGGCAGGGATCCGGGGTGTGCATATCTGCTATACTATCCAGCCCTCCCCGCTTTTGTTAGACATCACAGCCTCCTGATCCAGGACCTAGGTGTCTCCCAGTGGCCTCAGAATCTTGTGTTTCAGGCAACTTCGCCTGCATTATTATCTTGTGACTTATAAACAGCTTACCCTTAGCCTTAACTATAGAGGTGTGTGTGTGTGTGTGTGTGTGCATAAAATGTTACGGGGCCACAGCTGGCAGTGCCAAGGTTGGGGGGGGTGTACTCTGGGCCTGGCACATGCAAGTCCCGTATTCTCCCACTCTCATCGCCCTGCTGCAGCATCTTTCATCTTGAACTAGCGAATTGGCATCCTGAATTTACAGATGTTTTTGTTTTGGGTGGGGCACACCTGGCGATGCTCAGGAGTTACTCCTGGCTCTGTCCTCAGGAATTACTCCTGACAGTGTTCAGGGGGACCATATAGGATGCTGGGAATTGAATGGAAGTTGGCCACGTGCAAGGTGAACACCCTCCCTGCTGCTGCACTGTTGCTCCGGCCCCAAATTTCACAGATTCCTCAAGTGTGCCCTGTCCCACACAAAACCAGCAGGTGTCTGAGACGCCTAGTTTCCTCCCCATTCTTCACTGGCATTCTTCACTGGCATCTGACCTCTTCCCCAGCCCAGTCCCTCACCATCCTCTCCCCTTTCCTGCCCACCTCCCGTGGTCCCCAGATGACCACGCCAGTTGTCATCGCTCTTCCCACACACCCCACTCCACGGGGCAGTGAAGAGTATTTCACAGCAGAGACAAATTCGTTCCACATGCGAAAATCCTCTCAGTTTCCCAGAATAAAGGAAGCCCCCCAGGGGGAGGGGCTGGGACTCTCTCCATCTCCTTCTGTTACTCCCCCTGGCTCCAACCATGACAGCCCCCTTCTTAAACCCCAGACCCTGCAGAGGGGTCTGCGCCAGGGAGGCTGCCCACTCACCGAGGTCCATGTTGCGTGTGCGGGGGTTGCACTGCTTGGAGCCTTTGCAGCTTCTCAGCTCCATGAGCTGCACGTGCAGCTGGTTGAGAACATCCCTGTCCAGCGTGCTCACCGCGTTCATCAGCTGCGTGGTGGGTGGGTGGGGTTGTCAGCAAGGCCATGGAGGAGGCAGGCTATGGAGAGGGGTGTTCTGCCCATCCCAACCCCCCAGGATGTGTCTGGGCTACAATCTTCCCCTCTTGGCTGAGCCCCAGAAGCCGGGAGGAAATCGCTTCGTTTTGGGCCTCCCGGAGAGTGCTGGTGTGGGTGGGGGGCTGGACCCCTGGGTGGGCAAGGCAAGTGATCCACTCCCCTAAACTACTTTCCCAGTCCCCCGTGGTTCCTTCCTGGCCAGGAAGTTGCTGTTTGGTGCCAGAATAGGCAACTCTGACCTGGGGCCTTCTCTGCCACCCACAGTCCCTTCAGAAAAGACGGGGCCTTAAATCAAACCATCCGTGAATGCTGGCAAGTGCCAAGCCCGACCTTGGGAAGCATTGGGTGTCTGGGCTTTGGAATACTCAAGCGGGAAGGAGGGTATGCAGGTGGGGTGCAGAGGGTCTGCACCACGGGGCATTGCCAAGAGCTGCCCCTGACATGAAGGACCCCGGTCCTCCCTGCAAAGCTTTTAGATGCTGCCACATGCACACACACACACACACACACACGAGTGCAGACCACATCGGAGGGACTGGAGTGCCAGGGGCCCAGACAGGTGAACCACAGCCCCCATCCTCCATGGCTTCACAGCTCCCCGCAGGGCTGGCCCAGCCATCAGCGCTCTCCCCTTCCACCGCTACTCCTCTCTGGCCTGGTACCTGGTAGGGATCTGTGTTCAGGTCGAAGTACTCCAGGAAGCCGGTGGCAAATTCACAGAAGAGGAAGTTGTGGGTCTCGTTGATGGTCCGCAGGCACCAGTAGGTGTTGTTGTTGGCGCTGGTGCATGCGCAGAAGGGTCCCACTGCGGGGTGGGGAGAGCGGGAGGTTGAGGGCGTGGGGAAGGGTGGGACCCCCCGTAAAAAGGCGCCCCCGCCCGCCAACCCCGCTCTCTCGCTCACGTGTCCAGAGCGGCGCCGTCTGCCAGTGCTGGTTGTCGTGCGTGAAGCACGTGAGGCCGGGCATGCTGCACGTGTCGTTGTTCTGCAGGCGCTTGAGCAGCTTGCGGAGCTTCTTCTTGCGCTTCTGCTCCCGCAGCAGCCACACCTTGTCCTTCTCCTGCAGCCCCTTCCTGCGGGCACAGCACGGGCCACACCCCTCACATCTTCCCCCGACCCCCGGACAGCCCCAGCCCCTGCCCGCCCCTTTGGGTCTGGAGGCAGCGGAAGGAGGGTGCGGCGGGCTGGCAGCAACGCCCTCCATCCACCAGGGGGCGCCAACGACCGCCCAACGCCTCTGCGCACCAGACCTGCCTGCCTTGCTGGGTATGCAATGTATGGGCAGGCAGCCTGCCCACGAGGGCATCTCTGCAGGGCATACGCGTCCTTACCTGAAAGGGTGCAGGCTGGAGGCTTTGTGCTTGAGAGAGCCTTTGTGCTGACTGTGGTAACTGGAAGAGACCCCACCCCAGGCATCAGGGCATCTCCTGGGCAGGGCCCCGGGAGGTGGGGGTACCAGCCCCAGGACACAGCTGCCTGCCTGCCAGCCTGGCTCCCTCCCCCAGGCCTGAGTCGGGGGTTCTCCACCAGAATGAGCTTCAGGTTCTCGGGACGTGGGTCCCCACCATCTGGTTAGCCCCAGGGGATCCCTTTAGGGACGGGCAGAGAGATGCCACACCACCCTGTCCAGAATAGCAGACACTAGCCCTGCTGTCCAATGTGTGTGAGTTGGTGGGTGGGGGGAACCTTCAGTGCCACTTCCTCTGTGATCAGGAGCTTGGAGGGTGCAGGGGTGCCCCCGGCAGCACAGCATGTTCCCACAGTCCAGCATTTCTCCTGGACACCGTGGATGCGGTTGTGACCCTCGGGGCAGTGTCCCCTGAGAGGCCCACAGGAGAGATGCTTCTCCCTGGCTGAGCACCCGGCAGGCTGGTGACATGTGAGCTGTCAGTGACAGCTGTCTCATCATCTCCCCATCCAGGCACCGACCTACCCAAACACCATCCGTTCATAAATGTATACACACACCCATGCTCCCATGCACCTGCCCTCCATCCTTCCGGCCACCTTCCGGCCACCTATTATCCCTCCATCATCCACGTGCTCATCCCTCCATCACCCCTCCACCCACCCTTATGTCCACCCACTTATCCACATACCCACTGACCCACCTACACATCCATCATCTGTTCATCAATTCCACCACCCATCCACCTGTCCTTCATGTTTAATATCCACCATCGACCTGTGGCCACACTGACCCATTCATCATCCATCCACCCATCACCCACCTGTTCATCATCATCGTCCACCCGCCCATCCATTTACATTCATCTACCCATGCACCCATCCACCCATTTTTACCCATCCATCATCCATCCATCCATCCGTCATCCTGTCTATCCATCCATCCATCACCCGCCTATTCTTCATCCATCCATCTCTCCACCTGCACCCTCATTCAGTAACTGATGGACGAGATGGGGCTGAGCCCATCACATCGGGGTGCAGTGCCCTCAGGGAGCAGCCGCAGATGTATGGATCCGTGTCCCCGGCCCCTCCTCACCTGACTTTGTGGCAGTCACATTCTTCTGGCCGCTTCTTCTTCAGATGGCCGCGGACTTCCCTGAGGTTCTTAATCTTGCTCTGCAGAGTTTCAATCTGAAGGGAAGGAGTGGGGCATTGGGGGAGGAGGGTCAGCCTTGAAGTTTGGGCACCCAGAAAAGGGCCTGGTCTGCCCTGCCGAGGCCTGCTCCCCTGGGCCCCGGACCAGCATTTCATTTTGGGGTGTCATGGGGTGTTGGCTGCCGGAGCAGGCAGCCCTAGCTCAGGGTGCTGTCTGCAGGCCACGTGAGCCCAGTGTGGACTTAAGTCCCGCCTCCATGCTTGCTGAGATGCTGAAGGCCATGGGGTCCCAGCACTGAGGCTCCCGGCCTGGGTGGGTGGAGGTCAGGGGGGCTCCTGGCTGTCACCTCATGGTCGATATGCAGCTTATGGTCCTTCCAGGCCTGCAGGGACTTGTACAGGTCCAGGTCGCACTGCACCGTGTCATTCTCCAGGATGTAGCACCTGCCAGGAGAAGGGGGCACGCCGGTCTGAGTGGCCTGAGGGGGGAAGGGGTGCCCCGGTCGAGGCCCCGCACCCCAACTCTCACCGATGTGTCACTTTAATGGGGTTGGATGCCGAGTAGTCGGGGAGGCCACCCGTGCCACTGAAGTCCCCGCCGTCCTTGTCGTCCTGGTCCTCGGGGGCCCCCGGCCAGTGGCGCTTGGTGAGGTTGTGGGGCAGGGACGTGTCCTCCAGGGCCCCATTGCTGCCCACGGAGCGGATGGAGCGGCCGCGGGAGTAGCTGGCCTTGTACTCTGGGGGTGCAGAGGGCCAGCAGCCACCTTAGGAGCTGGGCAGGGCTCCCGCCGCCACTCTCCCGAGGGTGAGCCCAAGATCCATGGCTGGTGAGGTGTGTGGACCCTGGCCCCCTCCCCAGAACTGCAGCTGGTCTTGGCCTGGAGCTGAAGAAGAGCTGGCTGGAGACAAGGTCAAGGGAAAGATGTGCAGCGAATGAACTGGGGGTCACCAGGGGATGGCCACAGGGACACGGCCATGGGGAACCAGTGGGCATGGAGCTCTGAGTCCATCGTGGAAACAGCCAGAGCCAGAAATCCAGGCCAAGGCAGAGGGGGGCTGAGCAGGGGCTGACAGCTGGGGCTGCCCTTATGGGGTTCCCCAAAAGTTTTGGGAGCCCTGGGAGTGTGTAGGGGTCCTATAGGACTTTGGGGTTCCGTGGAAGTTTGTGGGGGGTCCCTGTGGGGACGACTGTTGGGGATGTGAACACTGGACTCTCTTGTCCACTCACTAGACTTGGAAACTGTCAGTTTTGGGGACAGGAACTTCACCTCCATTAAAGCAGAGAGGGGGGACACGGGGACAGATGCGCTGACCTGAGGGCCCAGAGGACTGGGGACACCTGACTTGTGAGTGTGAGGTCCCAAGTTCAATCCCTGAAGCCACCACATGTTGCTCTGGAGCCCGATGACCACAAGCACCGCCACAACGGGTGTGGTGTGTGACGAGTGTGGCCCTGGGGACCACATGACCCCACCACAGCACCACCCATGACAGAGTGGCATGAAGCACCAATAGAAAAGGGACAGCCGCTGGCTCCCGGGGAAGGGCTGAGTGTCCCGGAAACTCTGGCATGGCCGTTGTCTCCACAGGGACATCAGAGAAACGTGGGGCAAAGTGACAGTGAGGGACACCTGCTCAGGGTCGTGCTGCAGAAGCCAGAACGGGCGTCCCCCTGTCCTCTCAGTGGGCACCAGAATCTCGGGCACCAGGGGTCTGGGGGTGCCTCGGGAACCCGCTCAGGATGGTGCCTCCCAGCTGGTCACTCCTCCCTGCCTCTGGCTCCCCGCAGGACCCCTGAACCTTCCTGCAGCTGGACCCACAGCCTGAGGGGGACGCTCGTGAGAGATCCTGAAGCTGTGGGTGGGTCCCAGAGTCTTGCTCCCTGCTGCTGGCCCACTCGTTGTGCGCGTGTGTGTGTGCGCGCGCGCGCGCGTGCTTTGTAGGTCACACCCGGCTATGCACAGGGTCCTGGCTCTGCACTCAGGAATGACTCCTGGCGCTGCTCGGGGGCCCATATGGGATGCTGGGACTCGAACCCTGGTCGGCCTCATGCAAGGCAAACGCGCTACCCGCTGGGTTATCTCTCCAGCCTCCACTTACTCTTCTTGAAGAACTTTTTCCGGCGTCCGGCCAGGCCGAGCGTGTAGTCGCTGGTCTCGCAGGCACAGGCCTCGCTGCCGGGCCCGAAGGACCTGGGCACCAGGTTGGACAGGTCTCGGCCCCCCGGCCGTGCTGCGCCTTTGCATTTGTGCAGCTTCAGTCTCCCAGCCGCGTCCTCCACACACTGCCACTTCTGCAAGGCAGGGACAAGGGGCTGGGCTGGGCCTGGCTGGACGGGGCGGGGCCAGGCTGGATGGGGCGGGGCGGGCCTGGGCGGGGCCAAATGGGGGCGGGGCGGGGCTGGACCAGATGGAATGGGTGGGGCTATGCGGGACAGGGCTGGGCCAAGTTGGGATGAGCTAGACCGGGCTGGACTGGGCTGAACTGGACCGGCCTGCACTGGGCTAGCCCCCTGCACCCCTTGCATAGCTCCACTCTCTCCCCCTGGACCATCACTTCCCTAGTCACCCGTTGATCTCTCCAGCTTCCTTCAGGCCCATGTGATTTACCAGGAAACTCACCGCCCATCTCCTGTAACGGAGCCACTAAGGAGGGCCCTGTGAAAGTAATGCCACAGGCCGGGGAGATGCTCAGAAAACAGCCTGTGGGGGCGGGGGGTCTGGGCTTGATCCCCAGCACCTAGGAGTGGCCCCTGGGCCCCAGAGGGAATGTGTCGGCTGCCGCGCAGCAAGGCTGCGGTGTCTGAGAGGGACCCCCAATCCCTGCGCCCCTCACCTGGCCCAGCTGCTCGCAGGCTGTCTGGAATTCGGCCCGCTGGCAAAGGTCCTTCACGCGCTGGTACTTGGGCAGGAAGTTTTCCTCCTGGGTCTCTGCCTTGTCCCCGACCCTCTTGTGAAGCAGCTTTCTGGGGGGCAGAGAGTGGGGTGTGGGCAGTGGGCTCTGGGGGGCAGAAAGTGGGGTGCGGGCAGTGGGCTCTGGGGGGCAGAGAAAGGGTGGGGGGTAGGCAGGCAGTGAGCTCTGGGAGCAGAGACCTCCTCCCCGGGGGTGGCCTTCAGAGCATGGAACCCTGTCACTCTCCTGACCAGGCATGAGAAATGGGGGCTTAGGAAGAGGGGAGGGGGCCTATCCCAGGGCACCTCTGAGCATCCTCTTTGGTCCCCTCAGCACCACCTGCCTTAGTTCCGTGGGGAGCAGCCCGGAGCCCCAGCTCTGCTGGGCGTGAGAAGAAACGGGGGTCTCACAGAAAACCCCCACACTCCCAGGGACATGTGGCCTCAGAAGCTGGTCCCGTATCCCGGCTAAGGACACAGCAGTCACTGTCCGGAGGGAGCCCAGCACAGCCCCCGCACCCACACTCACCCCCGCTCCACCAGGAAGGAATCTCGCCAGACACGCATCTTCTTCTTCAAGTGAAACCTGGAAAGAAAAGCGCTTGTCCACCTGCGTGTCCATGGGGAGCCCCGGCACCCCCTTCCTGATGCAGGAGGGTAGCCCACACGCCCATTGGGGACCTGGGCTCTTGGGGGGGGGCAGCGGGGGCTTGTGTAATATCAGGTGCATCTCCTGCAGCCACTTGTCCCCTTCCCGGTTCTAAGACTGAGGCCAGGTGAGGGGGCATCTGGCCTGTACCCCACATTTCTGGGGCCTCTGAGCATTCTGCCATTTCCTGCAGTTCAGTGGAGATGCTCCCTCCAGGCAGCCGGCTGTGGACCCAGTTTGACTAGAGTGGCTCTAGGTGCAGGGACAGTGCTGGCCAGCAGATGGCGCTGCTGCCACGCTGGTGAACACCCGCTCCCAGCTCGGCTCTCCTTTGCCAAATCAGGACTCCCAAGACTGGTTCCATTGGCCACCCAACACGGAAGTCATACAGTGTGACAGCCCAGTCTTACCGGAGACCACAGGTCACGTGGTCACTGGTAGTGAGGGGGATCGGGAGTCCTGCCCAGTGCTCAGGCTGGAGGGACCCTCACTTGGTTGCTTCCTGGTCTTTAGAGCTTAGCTGGGAGGACCCCACGCACCTTTGCTCAGGGGAGGGCACTGGGGGCTGTGAGATGCAGAACCCTGGTTCCTGTACCTTGGAGACCCCCCTCCCGTACACACACACACACACACGCACACACACACACAGCGCTGAGCACCCCACATCCTCCTCACCGATTCATAGGCCGCTCTGAGTCCAGCAGCTTGAGGACCGATTTTCCGTCCATGTCCGAGGGGATGTCCAGGCCCGCAATGTCCAGGATGGTGGGGGCCAGGTCAATGTTGAGGACGATGTGGGGGTTCCTGGAAGGGTGGGGACACTGGGCACTCGGCCACTGCTCCTGGAAGGTGGGTGCTGCGCCTACAGGGGCCTCCGTGCTCCGGTACCCCAATACTGGATGCCTACCCCGGATCCCAGCTCTGCCTACGCTGCCCCCAGACTCCTGGTCTCCACACACCCACAGCTCACAGAGTCTCCTGCTGGGATGTGCCCACACCCCAGGAAAGGGCACCCGCCTTCCAGAGTTGCCCGAGGCCCTGGACCCTGGCTGTGCTCTGGTGGCTGGGCACAGTCTAGCCTGGACCTTTGTCTTCTGGAAGCTTCTCCCTCCACATGCCCTTGGCCACCTTCAGTCCTGAGCTTATAACTGGTCCCCTCTGGGCCCTGAGAGTCAGACGGGGAAGGGGGCAGCACACTGCCCATCCCCCAATATGCTCAAGGCTGCAGCCCCCTCCTCCAGGCTCATCACCTGTAACTTGGGACCCCAGGCCAGAGTCACCTGCTGCATGCCCTTTGCCTGCCTGGGGAGCCCGGAGGCCTCCCTGGAGGAAGGGGCTCTGGTGTGGGGGGAGATGTCACCCAGTCAGGGGGCGGGGCTCACAGTGGGGGCACACTCACAGGGGAGGGGGATTACACATTCATAAGGGGTCTTGTGCTCGTGGTGGGACTGGGGGTCATGCACTGCCTGGGGGCGGGGCGAGCACTCACAGTGAGCCGGCCTCCACGTTGGGGCCCCGCACATAGAAGGGGACCCTGATGTCGAACTCGTAGGGCATGGACTTGCCCTTCACCAGGCCAAACTGGCCGATGTGGTAGCCGTGGTCTGCGGTGTAGACGATGTAGGTGTTGTCCAGCTCCCCCGTCTCCACCAGCACGTTGTAGATCTGCGGAGGGCAGAGGTGGTGAGGACAGGGCAGTCCTGAGGTGCCTCCCGGCCCACTTGGGGTCTCTGGTCAGTGCCCCGCCCTCTCCCGTGCAGTGCCAGGTGTGTGTGTGTGGGGAGGGGGGCACCTTTGGAGCCTCTGTGAGTCCGTCCTGAGGTGGCCCCAGGCACTGGCCTGCAGCCGTGTCGAGGTAAGGGGGTGCAGGACAAAGAGTGGAGCTGGACAGGGCAGTGGGCTCTTATGGTGGTGGTAGGGTGGACCCCTATGGGCACGAAGGAGGCGGCCTCAGGGAGCCAGAGATAGAGAATCGTATCCCGTGGGCCCAGGACTCGGCCCTCCTCGGCCATAAAGAACCGGGCCCAGCAGGCCCAGGAGGGCCATGCGGAAGGAGCCAAGGTAAGGGCAGCTCTTTCCTTTGGGGTCACAAACATCCCAGGCTGGATGGTGTTGATGATTCAGCGGTGTGTGGACACCACCCTGCTGGCCTGTGAGGCTGGCCTGGGGCACTGGACACTGGAAAGCCTGTGTATCCTCCCAGCAGACCTGAGAAGCCTGGAAGAGGGCCTGAGAGGCCGCGGGGACAGTGGGGGAGGGCTGGCCTTGCACTCAGCCCATTCTGATGTGACCTCCCCCCCAACCCCTACCGGGAGTAGCACAGCTGGGAGTAGCAGAGGCTTCTTCCAGCAGCTGAAAGGAGGGAGTGTCAGTAGGTGGGGTTTTGGCTGGAACCCTGAGGCGCTGCCTTTTCCCTCTTCTGTGTCCGATGCCCTGCAGCTCCCCACACTGGGGGCTGTGCGGGGGAGGCTGGGGCCAGGGCAGGGGCGACAGGGCGACAGGGCGACAGGGCACAGCTCCAGCTGCAGGTGCTGGATGGGTGGGGCCAAGGCAGGATGGGTGGAGTCGGGCTCCAATGTGAGGGGCGTGGTCGGGCGTGGCTCCAACAAAGGGGGCATGGTTACAACAGAAGGGGCAGGCTCCAACCCAAAGGGCAGGGATGGGCGGGGCCAGGGCACGATGGGTGGGTGGAGTCGGGCTCCAATGGGAGGGGCATGACTCCAATGGGAGGGGTGTGGTCGGGCGTGGCTCCAACAGAAGGGGCGTGGCTCCAACAGAATGGGTGGGCTCGAACCCAAGGGGCAGGGATGGGCGGGACCAGGGCATGATGGGTGGAGTCGAGCTCCAATGGGAGGAACATGGTCGGGCGTGGCTCCAACAGAAGGGGCGTGGCTCCAACAGAAGGGGCGTGGCTCCAACAGAGGGGGCGTGGCTCCAACAGAGGGGGCGTGGCTCCAACCCGAGGGCCAGGGATGGGCGGGGCCAGAGCAGCTGGTGGGCAGGTTGGAGCACCAATGGGGGCGTGGTGGGCGGGGCCCGATGGAAGGGGCGGGGCTCCGGCTGCGGGGCGGGCCTACCCGCTCCATGGAGTCGTCCACGGACAGGAGCGTCTGCAGGCGCTTGCGCTGCAACATGTTGGTGAACTGCATGTGGATGGGCTTCATGGGCCCCGTGTAGCGCATGATCCAGTGCTTGTCGGGGTTGGGGGCGTAGTTGTAGCTCGGCGTGCTGGGAGCAGGCATACAAAGAGGGCAGGGGTGAGGAGGGTAGATGCGGAGGCAGGCCAGATCCCACCTCTCACACACCTGGGCTGGGGCGGACACATCCACAGCAACGGGTGCCCGTCCTGCCCCTGCCCCCACACACCTGGGGCCCACGCTGTGAGAGTGTGGACGCAGGGGGCCCAGTCGGCACGTGGGGGGGGTGAGGGAGACTCTGGTGTGGGGGTCAGCTGATGGGTGCTGGGTCACCAGGCTGGTGGCCAGTGCCCTTGCTTTCTCGCCCACTGGCCACCTAGGCTAGTCTCCCCGCAGGGGGTCCCCAACCCCTCTCCTTCCTGCTCTGAGCACAGCCCTGCTCCTCCCCCGCCTTTGTCACTTTCGAAACCAGCAAATGCACTTTGTCACTTTTGAAACCAGCAGCGCTGTGGCCACTGCTCCAGGAGTTCCTTTGGCAAGGGTTTGGGGAGAAAGGAAATGACTTAGAATAAGCCCCCCCCACCCCCACATCCCTGAGGATCCTCTCCCGGATGTTCCCGTCCTTTCCAGGGACCAACCAGGTCAGAGCAGAGTAGGGAGCTGCGGGGGGGGGGGGGGGGGGGGCTGAGAGTGTGGTTGTGGCCCACCATCACCAAGGCAGCTTGAACCTGACTAGGGAGTGCTGGAGGCTCTCCCCTCCCTCTATCCCCTCCATGTGGGAGAAATGTGGAAACTGAGGCGGAGCAAGGCAGATGAGGGTGGAGCTCCAGGATGCACATGTATGGTCCAGGCAGATCTGACACTGGTGTGTACTTGTCTGTATGTGTGTGTGTGTGTGTGTGTGTGTGTGTGTGCATGTGTCTGTATGTGTCTCTGTGTAATTGCACTTGTGATCTTATGCTCGTGTGCATTTCTGTATGCCTTGATGCACTGCCAGTGTCTAATTACATGTCTTCAAGCATGTCTTGTGTCTGTGTTATATGTGTATCTGTGTACGTAACCGTGTGTGAATGTGTGTATCAGTATCTATTTACTACTAACTTGTCTCTGCACCTGTGTCTCTACATGAAACATTTGTATGTTTGTACTTGTGTGCCTGCATGTACTCTTGTATTATATGTGTCTGCATGTAGATCTGTACTTTGCATGTACCTATGTGTGTGTTTATGTGAACACATGCATCAGTGTCTGCATGTATGTTTTTATGTATGTACCTGTGTGTCTGCACATGTGTATTTTTGTGTGTATCTGCTCATCTGCATGCATCTGTGTGTGTGCATCTGTCGGTGTGTATCTGGGTGTGTGTGCATCTGTGTGTGTGCATCTGTGTGTGTGCATCTGTGTGTGTGCATCTATCGGCATGTATCTGTGTGTCCCTCTGTCTGCATCGGGAGAGGGAAAACCTCCATTAAGCAGTATTTGCCTAAGAACCAGGCACAGCCTTGAGGTTGAGAAGGAAAGATCTAGAACTCTGGCTGTCCCCCTCACTCCCCAGCCTTAACTGTCTTGGTTAAACATCCCAGCTGCACAACTTTTCTGGCTTTTCCTTTTGCTTTGGGAAAGATTACGCCCCAGAGGTAGAGAGCCTTCCCAGCACACCCCTAATAAGGTGTGGGGGGCTCTCTGGGAGACAGCCAGTGTTGCTCATGTTCAATTTCTGCAATTTTCATTTCAAAGAGAAATAAAGGAGCAGATGATGTCAAATCATCTTCTGATCATGATGCTCCTGGGGGCAGACGGGGTGGGGGCAGTGCTGGCACCTCTTTTAATGGAGAAGCTGACAAAGCAAAGCATCCCTCTTGGATTCTCCCTTCAGCGGCCTGAGTGGCCCCCCCAATATGATCTGTGGGTGGGGGAGGGGGAGGGTGGGGGGTGCCAAGGAATTGCCTTGAGCCGATGGGGGCAGTGCTGCCCTCTGGTGGACAGAAGCGGCGCTGCAGCCTGTGGAACTTGGCCCTCTCTGCCAACCCCCTCTGGGGTGGAGGACAGGATCAGAAGGTTAACACATGGCCCGGCGCCCTCCCAGCAATCACAGCGGGGCACCGCGGGGCGAGGAGGGCCGCATTCTGATTGCGATGGAAATTAAACGCGGAATATTCAGCGGAGCCACACGCCCTGTCCTTGTGCCAATGTCACAGCTGGGGCTGCTAACACGGCTGCTGAGAGGGAGAGGGGTGGAACAGCAGAACTTTCCAGAAACATAGGGAGGTGGGGAATCTGGGGGTGCATCACGGGAGGGGAGGGCGGTGATGGGGGGCCTGGGGAGAGTGCTGGATCCTGACTCTGCCTTTTACCAGCTGGGCAGCACCAAAAAAATGCCCCCTAAAGTCTTGGTTTCCTCAGATGCCAAATGGGAATGACACCGAGTGTGACATCCATACGGTGGGAGCACCCCGGAGTGTGGGAGCACCCTATAGTAGGAGAGCACCCCCGTACTGCAAGGAGACCCCACACTGCAGGAGAACAGGCAGGGTAAGGGGCTGCAGGATGAGGAGGTACATGGGGCATGTGTGCCCTCCTCTACCTCAGCCTCTCCCCAGCCCCCTCTTCCTCTGCACCCCACTCTCTCCCGCCAGCCCCTGCCCACACTTTTACCTCGGCATCTCCCCCACCAGTATCTTCCCCACACCCCAGCATCTCCCACAGACCCCGGCATCTCCCCCAGACCCCAGATTCTCCCCTATACCCCAATGTTTCCCCTCAACCCGGTGTCTCCCCTATACCCCAGCACCTCCCCCCTCACCCATCTGCTATGGGGAGTGACACCACAGCACACGGGCAGGACACTAGGCGTTGGTTGCAGGGCCCCAGGGATGCAGCATTCAGGATGGGTCCTGTCGTGAGCCAGGGGAACACCAGGTTGATTCTGAGTGTCAAAGCTCCCCACGGGACACGCCAGGGATTCCCAACTGCCCCCTCCAGGCTGCTGCGTTTGGGGCCATCCCTGGGGGACAGCAGGAACTGAATCCCGGGTCCCACTTTCCCCACCCAGAGGGCCAGGGCTGGGGCGCAGAGCCTGCTTCATGCGGGTGGGTGTGGGAAGAGGCCAGGGGTGTAGACGCAGAGCGACATCAAGGGGGCCCTGATCTTCCCCGCACCAAGGGGAGATGCGGGCTCTGTGGTCAGGGTGGTCGTATAGGGTCTGCGGCAGCTCTGGGCGGCACGCTGAGCTGGACCCCTCCGACAGGCCCACTGAGGGGCGCTGAGCCAGACCCCGTGCACGGGGCGCCACGACTTACATGTGCTGCGAGGCGTTGGGGAAATGGTCCGAGTATTGGGGGGCAGAGTCCTCGGGGCCGTGGGGGGCCGCGTGACTGATGACCATGAGCACGGGCCGGTGCGGGTACATCTTCTTGGACGTGCGGAAGAAGCTCACGCTGGCGTTGGTGATGAGGTCCGTCAGGTAGTCCTGGGGGGGGACATGGGCCGGTGAGCAGTCCGGCCTGTGCTGGGCCACACTGACCGCCCTACCCGCGCGGGGCAGCGGGCAGCACCTGGGCAAAAGAGTTGCACAGCGCCCGAGGGGGGCTCACAGGGGCCGTGAGCAGGTCATGGGGATGCTGAATGTGAGAGGCGGCACTTCTCCGTCTGGGAGCTGGGGTGGAGTGGGGTGGGGGTGGGGTGCCTGACGGTCCCTTCCTTAAGAGCAGAAATCAGCAGCCGGCCCGTCTCCCGCGTCACCCATGGAGAAAAGGTGGCCCCGGGGGTCTTGGTCCCAATGCCGGGCTCTTTTTAAGGTTCTGGACATATAGACTGAGAAATCTGGACAGTGACTGGGCGGGGCGGTGAGCGCACTGCAGGGGTGTGTGTGTCTGCAGGGGACAGTGGCTGGACAGGGCAGTGAGCGGCACTGCAGGGGTGTGTCTGGGGAGGGGCAGTGACTGGGCAGTCGGTGAGTAGCACTGCAGGGGTGTGTGTGCGTGAGGAAAGACCTCCCAGGGGCCGAGAGCTGAGGTCCAGTGAGCAGTGAAGACAGTGAAGAGGGAGTGGGAGACAGGTGCCTGGCATGCAGTCACCCTGGGTTCGATCCCCGGCATCCCATGAGGTCCCCTGAGCCCTGTTAGGAGTGATCCCTGAGCCCAGAGCCCGGAGTCAACCCTGAGCGCTGCCAGGTGTGGCCACCCCCAAACGAGTAGCCTCTGGGCCCCGCCCCGGTCCCGGCCCGCCCCCGGGGACGCACACACACCTTGTGGTAGTCGGAGCCGTGCTTCTCCTTGACGCCGTTGCGGCACAGCGTGTAGTTGTAGAAGCGCGAGTTCTTGAGGAGTCCCACCCACTCCTTCCAGCCCCGCGGCACGTACGAGCCGTTGTACTCATTGAGGTACTTCCCGAAGAAGGCTGTGAGGAGGGCAGAGGCGGAGTGGGTGAGGGTCAGCGCCCAGACGCCTCGCTGCCTCCCCAAGGCGAGCCCAGGTCCTGCCCGACCCCCCTCCTCCAGCTGGGATTCTCGGGGTCCGAAAAGGAGCAGGGCCGTGCAGGAGAGAGGAGAGTGTGGGGCGGGGCGGGGGCCGCACTCCCATGGCACCACGTGCCTGGATGTGGGTGCAAGAACCTCACGCCTAAGCTGCGTTCACCGTACCAGGCGTTGGGTGCACCTGTGGGTGGGGGGCAGCCTCCCAGCACCACAGAGCTGCACACCCACCTCATACTTCTGATTTTTAAAAAATTTGTATTGAATTACTATGATACACTGTTACAAAGTTGTTCACGACTGGGTTTCAGTGATACAATGTTCCAACACCATGTATCACCAGTGCACATTTCCCATCAGCAATGTCCCCAGTTTCCCTCCCCCCATCCACCCAGCCTGCCTGTATGGAAGATTCTCTCTCCCTTCCTCCCTCCTTCTCTCTCTCTTCTCTTCTCTCTTCTCTCTTCTCTCCTCTCTCCTCTCTCCTCTCTCCTCTCTCTCTCTCTCTCTCTCTCTCTCTCTCTCTCAGCATCATTGTGGTTTGCACTGAGAGGTTCTCATGTTTGTCCCTTCACCTCCTTCAGCACTCAGTTCTTGCCAGAGAGAGTGACCATTTCCCATGATCACTGTCATTCTGCTCCAACTTCTCTTTTTGGTCTGTGATGCTCCACGGTGGCTAGAGAAGACCTGGGACCCTACCCCGCCCCCAACCCCCACTTATTCAACTTTGTGGACCCTAGAATTTTTAATCCTCTACAAGCAACTAGAAGGTGAATAATGCGAAAGCAAAACAGACAGAGCCAGGGGAGTGGAACCAGGAACTGGACCTGCCTCCCTTTGCCCCGCTCCCGAGGACTTTCTGTTCCCTAGACAGAGGCATGGCTGCATTCCCTGCAGTTCCCTGGACAGATACGATCGCATTCCCTGCAGTTCCTTGGACAGAGGGCCATGGTCATGTTCCCTGCAGTTCCCTGGACAGATACGGCCACATTCCCTGCAGTTCTCTGGACAGAGGGCCATGGCCACACTCCCTACGGTTCCCTGGACAGAGCAGTATGGCCACATTCCCTGAAGTTTCCTGGACAGAGGACCATGGCTGCACTCTCTGCTGTTCTCTTGAGCAAAGCAGTACGACTGCACTCCCTGCAGTTCCCTGGACAGAGCAGTATAGCCGCATTCCCTGCAGTTCCCTGGACAGAGCAGAATGGCTGTGCTCTTTGCAGTTCTCTGGACAGAGGGCCATGACCACACTCCCTGCAATTCCCTGGCCAGAGCAATACACCCACATTCACTGCAGTTTCCTGGACAGAGGGCCATGGCCATGTTCCCTGCATTTCCCTGGACAGAGGCCATGGCCACGTTCCCTGCAGTTCCCTGGACAGATACGATCGCATTCCCTGCAGTTCCTTGGACAGAGGGCCATGGTCATGTTCCCTGCAGTTCGCTGGACAGATACATCTGCATTCCCTGCAGTTTCCTGGACAGAGGACCATGGCCACTCTCCCTGCAATTCCCTGGACAGATATGGTCACATTCCCTGCAGTTCCCTGGACAGAGGGCCACGGCCACGCTCCCCGCAGTCATGGGCAAAACACAGATGATGAGCAGGAGTCAGAAACGGGTCAGGTGCCAGCAAGAAGGATACAGACCAGTCACTGGCTCGCTGTCTGCTGAGGACAAGACCTGGCATTATTCAGTAACATGGACGCGTCCCCACCCCGACAACAAAGCCAAAACAGCTGGGCAGGAGAGCACTGCCGATGCCCATAGAGAGAACTTCAGCATGGCCTTGTGCGGAGCTGACAGCCAGGCAGATGCGGGTCATGCCGGCCATGGGGGGCAGCATGGGTGGAAGGGCCGGGCTGGGGGTGCCCAGGGGATGCCCTTGCTCTATTTCAGCAGGTGATGCAGAGGTGGCAGCTGACTGGGCGGCATGGTGGGGGTCACTGCCACTTCAAGTAGCAGACTTCAGGGGCCTATGTGGCCCAGCCTTCTCGTAGCCCTGGCTCTGCCTCTCCTCCCCCTTCCCTTCCTATTCTCACCTCCTGGAAGTGTCCTGGGGGGTCTGCTCTGGAAAGGGGGCAGGAGTCCAGTAAGTTTGGGAACCCTTGTTTCGTTTCCTGTGGGGACCCAGGGGCACAGCTCCATTGGGGGCTGTGAGCATCTATAGGTCAGCTGGTCCCCCCCCTCCCCCCGCAGCCAGCTCCAGCCATGCAGAAGGAGAGAGAGAAGGCCATGAGGCTCCCTCTCCCTCTCTCTCTCTCTTCCTCTCCCTCCCTCTGTCTCTCTTTCCTTCTTCTTTCCTCTCTCTCTCTCTCTCTCTCTCTCTCTCTCTTTCTTCTTTCCAACCAGGAAAGTGGCTGAATGCTGGGAACCCCCATGTGCCTCGTACAAGGTACCCCAAACCAAACCAGGATGCAGATTCCAAAGATGCTTCAGAACCCAGTCTGAGTGCCCGGGGCGCTGCAGGCACTGGCAAGCGTGCCCAACTGATGCCAACTTGAGCCTGAGAGGAGAAGAGATGGACAGAGGCACATGGCGAGGGAGGAAAGGCCTTTGTTGCCAGAGCCAGAAAACGTGGGTCTCCCACCTGGAACCTTCTAGAACCCGGAGAGTTTTCTGCAGTGTATGGCTTAGGGATGGGAGACCTTGGCAGAAGCAATTCGCTGAAGCCAGACCCTGGCCAGTGGCCGGCAATGTCCAGGAACGGGGCGTCTTAGGCACCCCCCACTCCAGCTCTTCTGGGAAGTACGTGTGCCCATGGGCAGGGTGGGCGCATAGATGAAACACTTCCAGGAGGTGAGACTAGGAAGGGAAGGGGGAGGAGAGGCAGAGCCAGGGCTACGAGGAGGAGGCTGGGCCACGGGGCCACGTCTAGAGAACAAAGTAGAACAAGCCCCCACCTCAGAAATCAGGGGCATCTGTATCCCCGCTGCAGGTCCCCAGCTCTGAGAAGCGGCTGCAATGAGCCCTGGGCATGCCCTGGGACCCTCAGCAGATCCAGGGCGAAGGCTGCACAATTACTGGCGTGAGTTTGGGGGCATGGGGTGCTGCGGACCCAGACGAAGGCTGCTATACCCCTGGTAGGGCACAGAGGACCCCGATGAGGGTGAACAGCCCAGAGCCACAGGTCAGCAGTCTGAAGCGAGATGCTCCCATCCAGAAGCTTCCGTCTGCAGGCTGGCACTATCCTCTCCTCCCTGATGTGCCTGGGAGAGCCACCAGGCCCCGGAGAATGAGTTCCGGGGAGGAAACAGACCCAGTCACCCCCAACGACCTGATCTAATGCGCCTCCCCGCAGACAGGAGCTTGGCTCTGTCACTGTCTCGGTCTCTCCCCTTCTCTCCCGCTTTTCCTCCTGATGGAGCAGAACATGGCAGGGTCTCAAGGAGAAGCTACTTTAGGCTTCGTGGGTCTATCTCCATTGCAACTCTTCAGCTCTGCGACCGTAGGATACGGTCAAAGGCAACTCAGAAATGAATGGGCGTGGTCTGTTCCAATAAAACTTTATTTATAACAACAGATGGAGGGCCAGTAGCCCACTGGCTACTGTCTGCTCTCCCTCTAGCACTAATGGCCAGGAAGTCTTGATGGCCATATTGTGCCCGCACAGCCCAGTGATCTCTGAATTTCTCCTGGGGAGCGAGCTGCCCTCAGGGAGGCTGGTTTTAAGGGGTCCAGTTCGGGCAGGGCAGGTAGGGAAGGCTGAGGGCCTGACTCTGGCAGAAGTTTATTCTCTTCCAGATGTCTGAACCACCCTTGGAAGAAGCCGTGCCCTCAAACTCCGCCTTTCCTGGGGCATCGAAACCCTTTTGGTTCCTGTCTGTGGACACTGAGATTTTATTATTTATTTATTTGCTTTTTGGGTCACACCCAGCCATGCTCAGGGGTTACTCCTGCCTGGCTCTGCACCCACGAATTCCACAAATTACTCCTGATGACGCTCAGGGGACCATATGATATGGGATGCTGGGGATCGAACCCAGGTTGGCCACGTGCAAGGCAAACGCCCTCCCCACTGTGCTATCACTCCAACCCCTCACTGAGGTTTTATTTTCAGTTGATCCAGAGCCTCCACAGGAAAGAGGGTCGATCTGGTGCCCCTCCTGGAAACTCCATCCCCTGTACTCATGGCAGGACCCACCGGTCGTGCTCTCAGTTTCCTTTTGCACGAACAGCGTGACAAGATAAAACAAGTGAGAGGGGAACACGGCAAGTGAGGGAGTTGGGGGCCAGCAGCTGAAAGCTGCAGCTGTGGCACTGAAGGTGTCTTAAGACCATCTGGGCCACAAATGGAGTCTTAGGTCCCAGCAACAATGGTTTCTTTACTGAGAACAAGTGGGGTGCCCGGAGCCGTCCCAGGAAACACAGCAGTGGATGAGACCAATCAGATGCCCCGACAGGGGACTATGCTGAAGAAAGATGATATTGTTTGAGATATCTGGGACAACTGTCCAGCAAAGGACCAGAGCTGGACCAGGGGAGGTGCCACTGATCTAAGGGGTCAGGATGATGAGGAGGACTCAGATCAGAGGGTGGCTGAAATCCAAGCCGCACTGTTCTAGGCAGTGCAAAGAGCAGGTACAAAGGTCCTGGGGCAGGAACAAGTGTGGGAACTCTTGAGGAGCCACGAAGGCTGGTGAGGGCGAGAGGAGATGATGTCACAGGCCAGACCAGAGCGTTGCAGGGTCTTGGAGGTCATAATCAGAAGTGCCAGAAGCAGATCAGAGAGACAGTACAGCGGGGAGGGTGCTTTCCTTGCATGCAGCCGACCCGGGTTCAATCCCCATAACCCCGTACGGTCCCGCCAAGGAGTGATCCCTGAGCTCAGAGCCAGCAGTAAGCCCTGAGCACTGCTGGGGTGGCCCCGAAACCCAGATCCTCCTTGTCAAATAAAAGCCCACTGGGGAGACTTATGGAGTTTATA